AAATTTCTCTACTGAAGTGGTGAAACGTAGTAGGTGTATAATGACATTTTGTCAAATACTATACATACCATAAGGTCAAGGTCAAATATCAGATCACACCAATGCTGGCCTCAACTATAATTTTTGAGCATCTCAACATCACTTAAATGTTCTGATCAACAGACCGTTCCGGAAATACAAAACAACAGCGGGGCACAGCTTTGTGAATTCCATTTCATTTTGTTCCATTTTATGCTAGTATCAGAGACTTGAACTTATAGCTCGTGTGACATGAGTGTTAAGGTTCGATTTAGGTTTAGAAATTGGCACTATAGTAACGCGTCGTAATGCAATCATTTTTAAAAGTATTAAAGTTAGGTGTTATATAGTGATGTTAAAAACAGGAAAGAGACTTTGAAATACCGAGGGGTATGGAGGTTCTACTACATATGTTATATTTACTACAGTTAGCGTATGTTTGTGTAATTATTACGAAATGTTAACGGATGTACGACTGTCTCGGATCGGTAAAGCGACTGTCTCGAGTCGGGAGCGGGCCTTTGGTCAGCTGGTTCTATCTTGACCACGAAGGCACGTTGATGGTCTGCGATAACACTTGTGATGAAAACATTGAGATAGACGGCTTATCCCTCCCCGCTGGCCTATGTGGAGCTGGGAGTCTCCTCGGCCTCTACACAGTTACAACACCCCGACATTTCTAAAGAGCCATCTTAATCTGTTGATATTAAGTTTGTTTATGGAGTATTTACCCTATCGGACTAGGGGACTCGCCGTACATAGAGAATCCACTACGGGCGGATTTGTTCGAATCTTGTATTTATCCTACATCATCCGTATGATGGCTTGTAGAGTTTAAATTAAAGACCTAGCGGATTAAAGTCTTCACACGAGCGTACACGTGCTTCGGCTACGTAGTGACAATAGACAGTAGGAAGTATTAGTGTAATAGGAAGTTAAAACAAATATCAGTATTCAAAAGTTATCTTCAACATCTCAATTCTATCTATTTTGAATCTTCAGATATTATCAGCGATTAAAATTACCAAGGTAAATTTTTAAAAGAAGCACACATTACATGTCTTTACAAAATCGCATTTTTAATGTTTTTTTTATTTTATTTTAGAAAATGCCATTTTTTTTTAAACATATTTCAACAAAATGAGTTTTCATTGTTGTTTAAAGAGCTTGGCAAATGCTAGTACAAATTAGTTTTAACGGTAACTAAATGTAAAGCTGTTTGAGTAGATATGACCATAACATTTTATAAATCATATAAGTTATGGATTGTGCTAATAATCAGGACGCAGTGAACCTTTCTCTGTTAGTTACTATGTGTATTCTACAATTTGACACGGGTCTGAGGATGACAATAGCCCTACGCCTGTAGACAATAATGGTTGAGGCCGCTCATTGTCCAGCCACGGGAATAAACTGACCAGTGCTGTCACTTTTATCTTATATTAAATTATGACATGTTTAAAGCGTGGCAACAAATCTTTTCTCGACAAAGGAGGTCGATAAATTGCCACAAACACTCTCAGATAATACAGATAGCGGTTAACACCTGTGTACGTCATATTATCATGGGAAAGCAATCATATTTATACCAACACGATCCCTGGAAAATATAATGTTGCCGTCAATTTATTGTTCTATAAATAATATATTAACACATGCTTCTAGACAATTAGAAACTAAGGATTGGGTTTCATATTCGATTTTATTTTTTAAAGTTTTCATACAACCGGTGCATTTTCTTTAAAGAAACCAGAATTTTCATTGAATCTTAAAAAAGATCAATTTGTAAGAAGAGTCGAATTTGTTTAAAAAAATATGTAGAAGAGAAAATAAATGATCTCATTCTGAATCATTTGACATCGTGACACCTGTATAACACCTGTCTAATACCGTTTTAAACATGTGTTATACCAGTGTGTACACGTGTTTTACATGTTTTATACCTGTGTGTACACGTGTTATACTTGTGCATACATGTGTTATACCTGTGTGTGCACGTGTTTTACTAGTGTATACATGAGTTATACCTGTGTGTACACGTGTTATACCTGTGTGTACACGTGTTATACCTGTGTGTACACGTGTTTTACATGTGTTATACCTGTGGTACACGTGTTATACCTGTGTTTACACGTGTTATACTTGTGTGTACATGTGTTATACCTGTGTTACACGTGTTGTACTAGTGTATACATAAGTTATACCTATGTGTACACGTGTTATACCTGTGTTATACCTGTGTATACATGTGTTATACCTGTGGTACATGTGTTATACCTGTGTTATACCTGTGGTACACGTGCTATACCTGTGTGTACACGTGTTATACATGTGTTATACCTGTGGTACACGTGTTATATATGTGTGTACATGTGTTATACTTGTGTGTACATGTGTTATACATGTGTGTAAACGTGTTATACTTGTGTATACATGTGTTATACATGTGTGTACACGTGTTATACCTGTGTATACATGTGTGGTACCTGTGTATACATGTGTTATGTCTGTATGTACACGTGTTACATATGTGCTATACCTGTGTAAATATGTGTTATACCTGTGTGTACACGTGTTTTACATGTGTATACATATATATACCTGTACTATACTTGTATAACACTTGTGTCATACATTGTTTATTTAGTACAAAATACGAAGTTCACAGAAAGCAAATAATGCGTTCTTGTCACATCATAAGCATTAATGCAAGTTTAATCATTGTCTATATACGGTTTCACATTGTATGGTTATATTTTAGAAAAATAAATATTTTTTACGGAACTTTATCTCAATCATCTTTTTGGGAAATCTTTGCAAACACCAACACCCTTCTGCTGACTAAAAGAATAAATAAAAGTGTTGAGTTTCTATCCAAATGCGTCCTTTTCCCCGACCAATGGTAGTGGTTACCTCTGACATTTGCAATTCCAACTACAATTGAATGCACTTAACAAAGATATTATGAACTTACAAAATATGATTTTGTATAACTATAGCTCTCTATTTTTTTTAAATGAATATCAAATATTTTTTTTTAATAAAATAGAAAACTCAGATCACCTGAAGTACTAGATAGAGTTTTACGGATGGCTGTCACTCGTCACTATTGAACATATCGATAGCTGTAAATAATGGTTAACATATATGAGATGAACAGCAACTGTGAAAGCTAGTCTCCAGAAGTGGTAGCTATAACAGCTTTTGGGCGGGTTTTTTCCTGAATGTATGTTTTTTACAAACATGTTGATAGCAAATAAAATATGATTGATACATTTAGCAAAACACTTACATATGATTTACTAAAATAATTTTACTTACAAAGTGGTGTGCTGATTTCATGAACGGACAAATTCATTACAAAATCGCTTCGGGTTTTGAAGTAGTGTAAGAAAGACAGCATGTTTACTTTCTCTATATTTCGTTCAACACTATTTACACGGTACATATCATAAGGCAGTAGACTACGATGATGTCTAAGCCGTTTATATAAAACGGTTACGTAGCGCTAGTCAAGGACATAATAGGGTGGTACACTCCAGAATTAAAGGGAAATTTATTAATGTTTTAAGGACGGTTACGATTAAATATTATTAACTTTAAAATTCTAAAAACGTAGAACTGATAAAAATTATGGCAGGTTCCGGGAAAAGTAACATCGTCGTATGGGTCCTAGATAGTACCGATTGTTGTAACTGGTTCCTAGATAGTACCATTGTTGTAACTGGTTCCTAGATAGTACCATTGTTGTAACTGGTTCCTAGATAGTACCATTGTTGTAACTGGTTCCTAGATAGTACCATTGTTGTAACTGGTTCCTAGATAGTACCATTGTTGTAACTGGTTCCTAGATAGTACCATTGTTGTAACTGGTTCCTAGATAGTACCATTGTTGTAACTGGTTCCTAGATAGTACCATTGTTGTAACTGGTTCCTAGATAGTACCATTGTTGTAACTGGTTCCTAGATAGTACCATTGTTGTAACTGGTTCCTAGATAGTACCATTGTTGTAACTGGTTCCTAGATAGTACCATTGTTGTAACTGGTTCCTAGATAGTACCATTGTTGTAACTGGTTCCTAGATAGTACCATTGTTGTAACTGGTTCCTAGATAGTACCATTGTTGTAACTGGTTCCTAGATAGTACCATTGTTGTAACTGGTTCCTAGATAGTACCATTGTTGTAACTGGTTCCTAGATAGTACCATTGTTGTAACTGGTTCCTAGATTGTACCATTGTTGTAACTCACAGTAAGGCAGTTTTTTGTTTCATGTTGTACAAAATGTTTAAGTTTCTTCTCTTCCTCCCGTCAATGTTAATATAGAAATAAAGTAATGACTCGTCCATAAGGTCCGCGTCAAAAATTAATGACGGCGATCTGTTAGACAATAACTTACTTGTGCTAATTATTAATTAGATTGTTGTTGATTAATGATAACCTATTTTGATACTGTTTCACACGGTGTAATATGTTCCAGTAATTATGTCACCTCGATGAGTTAATGATGTACGGTTTAGAGTTCATTAGTAACGGAAGCTAGTCGCTCTAGTAGGTGAAAAGATGCCCTGGTGAAATAGCCACACCTTCGGACAAAACGGGACATGTTAGGGGTGTTGGACTACATAACGTATTTCCGACCCGCTAAGGACACACGGACAATGGTCAACGTACACCCGGGGGCAGAACAACTACTTTAACAAAGAGATGACCACTTCGGACAATAGGGGGACAAAACACGTTCGGCCGATAATCATTTAAATGGTAGTTTCCTTTTAAAGTCGGGTATTATCTTAACAATAGGCCCAATTTACTTACATTGATAATTACAACCCGTTAACGTATTAACAAATCAGTCTATTATCCACGCATGACTAGCGTTTTGATTTCATTGGTAGTTTGACCATGCGGACACAAAAGTGTATATATACCGGAACTAATCTACTTTGGTCAGAAACAATCTGAGCTTTGTAGAACTTACAATATCATTAGACTGGAGTCCGCTCAATGATAAGACATTGTGTTTAGTGCTATCTTACTATTACAGTCGGGTAAGGTTATAGATCGCTATACCCCAGTACCTGTCATCGGCCACCTGGTGAAGGATCGACCCAATTAATTCGGACATACCTGGCCGGTAATTAGGTGCAAAGTGTCTTATATTGGATTCTAAATTACCAGAAAATTGCACCACATTTCGTGAGCATTCAAGTGACAAAAGTTGTTGCTTTATTTATTTTTGTGTGAAAAGGATCGTGTGTTATTATCTACCTGGGTTCTCCATAGGAGGGTCCTAACGTTGGTGCTGTCCGAAGTCATAATAAGGCGCAGGTGTAACAAACATTTTACCTGGCCGTCGACACGTGTGGACGCGGGTCAATAAATCATCGTAGTTTTATTTCCCGGTCAAGTGCAGATAGATGATTTTCACTTTCTCGTGGATTATAAACAGTGAAACAGAAAAGTCAATTTGGTGTGGTTTACAGTGATTTTACTACTGTTGTTCAACATTCGTCATTATGCTGGAAGTAGACAGTTACCGCCGAACACTCCATTCAACAGGTAAGAATAGAACAATAAAAAATCAGATTTTAAAAACCGGAAATTAAGACATTGGATTTAATCATATTGAACACTGGTAAACTTAACTTAAGTTGAAAGTCTGTTTCTTTTTCTTCTTTGCGATATGCATTTACTATATACATTTACTATATACATTTACTATACATTTACTATATACATTTACTATATACAGTTTTTTAAAAAGTTTCATTCAACTTTACTATATTCTTATGACGACTAATTTACACGAGGTTTCGCTAGTTGCAGATAGAATTTTAATAGACACATTAGAAATTATTGGAAAATTTTGGACATTCTCTTTATCAAAAATAGTTTGAAATGTAACTGTCAATGGCAATCTATTCATTTTTGATTTCCCCCCAAACAAAGTCGAAAAAAACACAAATATGAAATAACAATCACAAAAAAATAGAATCCAACAGCATATGCTTAGTGTGAATGATTCTTTATTCTCGTATCCCGATGAAACCCAACATTTAAATTCCAAAATATAAGTCATGTGTTGCAATGCTGATGAGATGTGTTATAATTATACTTTTCTATTTCCAAATTAATGATGTAAGGTGACAAACATGTTCACGCTAACACAAGTTTTCACTAGTTTTAAAAAGTACTTATACTCCATATTATAGAGCTTATTGAAGTATAAATATTCAAAATTCTTATTTGAAATATTCGCTGATTTCCCAGCGGTACAGCGTAATAGGAATGGTATGTGGACCGCAGTGTTTACTCTGTCTCGCGGTCTCCTGACTCAAGGAGTTTCCCATGTACCCAACTCGATAGATCACGTTTTACCAGATACAGATTAAAACTAGAAGTGAATTAATGTTATCTGACTGTGGACTGGTGAAGTGACTTGTCCTACGATCCTTTGCTATCATCTCGTCCGTCTGTACCGTCAATCACGGGGCCGACAGACGCTACCCCGGGTAGACAACCCAGACTTATCCACGACGTGTATTTATCTAAGAAATATAAATTATTATTTGACTGGTCTAGATTTCAATCATATGATGTGTTTAAATGTAAGAATACATTGACGAGTTTTACTTCACTCATACGACTTGACCGGAATTCCTATGGAGAGTGTTCCATGTAAGAGTTACCCTAAATCAACGCTAATTTCTGATAATGGTATAATTTTTAAATTAATCTATGATATTAACGGTTTCTTAATTAGATATTTGTTATCACCATTTTATTTCATTTCTAGGGTATGACCCGCGGATTCCCATGCCAGAGATGCCAGACTTTGGGGGCCTACACGAGCCCTTTGCTTACCACGCCCTCTCCGCCGTCAACAAACCAGAGAAACAAAACTCCCTGATCCACTGGTCCCCTCCCCCCGCGACTACCGTCTCTCCCACCCCAGCGACTGGCGCCAAGTCGGACGAAGAAGATGATGAAGACGACGATGGTAGGTTTTTATTTTCAATTTTAAATGTGATTATACCTAATTGAAAAAAGTTATTCCAGTCGAATTTAAGGTGTTGTTAATACAATTTGCTTTAATATTCAAAAATAGTGAATATTATTAACAGTTTAGTTAAGGTCATATGCTACCATACATGTACACGGAGTTCGAGTTATCTCCCTTAAATATATTGCAAGTATTATCAAACAATATCCTCGTGCTATCAATACCTGCATTTTAAATGTGTCGTCCCTCAATCAACTGTCTCTAATTAGTCTTTTATGGGAGATAAAAAAAAAACAAAGGAAAGGACATGTGTATACCAGAAACTATATGCCTGTTGTATAATACTTATATAGTGTGACAAATGCTATATATACACCTGTTCTATACTATCAGTTGACCAGATTTTGTACTAGACATTGTGTGTAAATAGAACACGTAACCCTATTGTGACTCTATAAATTAGAAGTATAGAGTGACAGTGATACGTGAATAGGTATTACTTGTCACTTCACAATCTTCAGTAGCTCCACGACTGATCATGTAAGGCAGTGTTGTGTCATTGTGACCCCACAAGGAGATGATAAAAAGGAGACTAATCACAGTCTACACATACACAGCGTGTCGTCTAAAGCCTTATGATTTCTGCCATATACTAGGTGCTAAATGTACGCGACGCTATAGCTTTGTCTACTTCAGGCCAGGAACATGATCCCACCATTTAATGATATGGTCAGATTTAATTGTACAATTGTAAAAGTTACAAAATATCCTTCATGATACAATAATAACAATGATGCTAGCAAGTGGACATCTTAGAAGCTTACGGGATACACAAAACAAGCATCGTTGCCATATATATTGTACAATTCAGTTAACGTTCGAAACGGGTTACATCCTGTTGTTTTTAGTTCAAATTCGTCGTTGTTTACTTATTTGGTGACCGATGGCCGATCATGAAACTAATTTGACATCCGGTTTTACGAGTCGTTTTACGCGCTCGCACGTACAGTGTTGCTGCGATACGGGCCTGGGGGTGACCATTCCCGCATAAATTGTGGCTATAAGATAATTATATTTACATCGTTATCATCATTGTCGTAAAAACCGAGGTAAAATGGAAGGAAGGGGCCAACCAGGGTGGATATGGACGCTGTGTCTGTTATCGCCTCACGCTAAACACACAACTCCGCCCGCTCAGCCGGTCAGTGGGGTCGGGGACATGTGTGGTCAACAAATTCAACATAAAAACAGGTTACCCACATCCCAGCCAAATTTTACTTCTTTTCAATTTTAGTTCAACTACGTTCTAAAATAAGTCCTTATATAAGATTTAATATTCGTTTAAATAAATTAAACAAGAAAAAACCCACAGGAAGGATGAATAAGCTTAGGTTTGAGATTATATATGATTGATTTGATTTACAGATTGCCGTCCGTTCACCCCACCCCCTCCCAGGGAACGTCTCAGCTACACTCGCTACCAGCTGGAGATGCTGAACAGTATCTACATCCGGGTCCGCTATCCTAACAGCACACAGAAACTGCTGATTGCGAAACGAGTCGGCATCACAAGGGAGCAGGTCAAGGTAATTATCGCTAATACTGACCCTACCGTAAATGGCATCAGTCACCAATTTAAGGCATATACATTATAAGCCACAGTTTTGGTTAACAAATGTTCCATATTCGCATAAAATTTGAGCCGCTAGAATTTGTTTTGTGTCTTAAAAGAAAATCATCGGTTATAATTCTTTTGCATTTCTACCGATATCATATTTATTGAGGGTGATTTGCATCATATCACACTATTGTTGTAGATGTACCTTGCATGAAGAAAGTTTACAATGTTCTTTATTATTTATATCCAACAATACGCACTTACTGGGCTACGTGTTAGTATATAGCGCAAATCTGGTATAAGGGGAAAGTCTCTTTCCAATTGTTTATTTTATTTTAAAGTGATAAAAATGTTTAAACTACGGTAACCTAATCAACGAAAGAAATTTAAAAAGACAGTTAAGACAGTATTTCAACATTCTTCCTGTTTAAATTTACAGATCTGGTTCCAAAATAGGAGAAGGAAGGACGTAATCGGCAAGAAGAAAGATGGATCAGAGTCTGACTGTAGTAAAAGCGATCACAGCGACACCAGAAGTGACCACGGTGACAACAGGAGTGATCACGGCGATAGTAAGGGCGACAACTGTGACAGTGACTCGGGTGTGAGCGAGGAGAACGGGGGACTCATGGTACCGGAAGTGGTTATGAAAAGTGTTATTGCTGAGTTACACAAGTTCGAAAAGGAACCAATTAAATCGAAGAAATTGAAAAAGAAAATGAAAGCATCTAGAAAGAAAGCGAAGAAAGCTGTCACTACACAACAGTTTCAGAGCATGTTGTTGGGTAGCGGGTACGACATGATCTCACCGCCAAACCAAGTGATAGCGCCGGCTCCTCCCAAGGTGTCGAGAGCAACAAAGTTCAACCATTCTAAGGACATGTCTGCGTTTGACGCTCCGAAGGAAGGGATGCGACCCGTAAGTTATATGGACGGCTACGGAAATTCGCTAGCCGGTTCGCTGATGTCGTCTGTACCAATGCGGGATCTGCCCGCGGGACACTCCAGTGTGAACGCTTCCCTAGGCTGTGACATGCCCGTGCTGTCCGACTTGTTAAACTACACTAAGACGTCTAGCGCGGACACACCCACTTCACGTACACACGAACATTTGCAACGAGTTAGTGAATCGTCTATGATGCATCACCACCAAAATCAAACATCCCCGACAAGTGGGTTTTACCCGAGTGTAAGGACTGTCCACGTTGATAGTCTTGGCCAACCGTCCATGCCCATGTCGTCCGCAGTGCTTAGTCGCGTATATCCGTACCCGTTTATTGCCGAGCACCCCATGGTGCTCTCAACATTACGTCATAACATGGAGCCGTTTCGACCCCAGCCTCAGTACCCGGGCGGACATCATTACAATGAAGACTACTCTCCGTTCCAGCCATACAACATTACGTCACTAGCCAATCCTTATTACTCACAAACATCACCCTGGTCACAACATAACTCAAGTGCCGAAAGCAACGGACCTTTCCAGCAGTTATGATGCTGACGGATCACTATATACGAACGATTACGTCAACTTAATAGCTGTGCTCATAATCGAACAGACATCACTCATAATGCTGAGGGGGTTACTGGCGAGCGAAAGTCACACACTTTTCTGCTTGTGACATTATACACGGTGGTCGACAGGCTAAAATTGTAGACAAACTCTCATCTAACCCACGAAACAGTAATCTTCTGGAACTATATAATTTGTGTGCCGGTACTGTATTAATTTAGCCGTACTCAACTGTGTCATCTTGAGAGTTTTAATGTAATAGCTAGAACTGGTACTACCCTGGCGTGTGTGGACGGGAACTGTATGTGAGGACCCCCGCGTCTGACTGAACGTAGGCTTGGTGTAATTTGAGTGTGTGCGTATCATTGTTCCTTTAATGGAATATGAAATCCGAGTAGTTGCCTTCCGGTATAATCGGAAATGGACAAATACAACTCGACAGAACAATCTCAGGTGCTATCTGTTATTCTTGTTAATGTTTACTCCATGTTTGTTTTAAATAAAATTATATATTAATGTATGAACTAGCAATGTGTAACGGTTATTTTTCCGTCTGCGCCTTTCAGGTTAAACGACTTGTGATGTTTCCAAATCTGCCATCTGCAGGGGCATGAATAGTACTCGTGTAACCATGATATCTCGTTAAGCGAGAATTGATAACGAAAAGCAAATATCAGCGAATGCAGCCTACAACATTAGTACCGAGATATATCGAGGTGAAATCCATGGCTGTCAATGTCAATAAAGAACTGCAGTTCGTGTCAAAGTTTGATGAGAATGCGGTTGGGGGATAACACCCTTGCTGTAATGAATAGAATAATTACACGATTTCTTTGAATAGCTAAGATGACATACAACATAAAAACGTAGAACGTGACTCTGTTCGATGAATTTGACATCGGGGATCATATATATGTAGGTCACACAAGTCACATAAATATGGTCAACAGATATCTTATAAAGTGTTGTTGAGATACATGTTTAAAGATGTGTCTCATACACTCCGATATATCATTTTGTTTAAGTCCATAAGATTTCTCCCGAAGTATTATGAGATATGCGATTGGTTTATAAAATAATCAAACGAGGCCCATCATATCATAGTCTATTCTGCTGAACGCGTAACTCGTCAGAATCATTGACAAAGTAAGTGATAAACATGAGGAGTAGGGAGAATTATAAGTCGTTAAAGGATTTAGCCCATCAACCGTCCAAATTCTGCAAAATAATATTTTCAATAACTGTACTATACAAAATATGTCTGACATTCTTGGACAGTGGAAATATTGATCAATTTTCTTTTAATAGACTTCTTTTATACATTGTCTCAGTTTCCGCCTTCTTTTTCGCATGTTTGCATATGCATGAGCTTTGGTCATGGGGTCATTAATTGTATCTGGTTCTTACAAGAACCACAGGAACCCGAACATTTGTTACAACTATATTTGAACCTAAATCAAGGTGTTCAGGATAATTTTACATAATTTAATTTTGCCTATCTCCCCCATAATATTTTTTTGGTAAATATCGTATATACCTAAAAAGAAAAACATCTCATGACGGAACTACTTTTTGCAAAGTGCACAATTTGTTTTCGGTATATACCGTATATACCAAAACAAAATCTTGGTCATTCCTTAAACGTTTTAGGAGTCTAGATCGACTTTCGGTAAAAACGACACCTCAATGATCATATATACGAGTCATTTTTACCAAAAGTGGATCTAGACCCATAAATCATGTGAAATTTCTCTGAACACCTTAGTTTAGGTCCAAATATAGCTGAAACAAATTCTCAGGTCCCTGTCACCAGAACCTCTACTTGGTAGTTAAGCGTCGATGTCAGTCACCCACAGACGAGAGGCTTCGCGAAGAAAGGCAGTGGTGGCGGGAAAACAGCAAACATTCAGCATGTCATTAAACAAACCTTGTGTTTTTACTTAGATGTACACATATTCCTTTGATATTAGTTTTCAAAAATAGGGCAAATCACTTTTACCTGTAATTTAATGAGGTTTAGCATTTATTAGTTAACATGCATATACAGCATATTGAATTATTCAGTAAGATTCAACATGTGTCAGCAGATTTATTCTATAACATACCAACAACACTAATTTAAACAAACATTAATTAACACCAACAATTAAGAGTACAATGCTAGAAGCATTCCTCCCGACTATAACGTAAACCTTCTTCTGTACGGAAATCCTGATTTGTCAGTTAAATGCAATGAAAATGTCTTCAACTGTGTTCAATATTGCATCAACCAGTCAAAACGATTTTAAGTTTGAAAATCTAAATTTTGATTTTACCTATGTTTACACGCAGTACATAGTAATACTTTACTGGTACGGCCCCTGTATGTCACGACACGTCAGTATGGAAATACATTATAATTATACAAATTGTCATAGTCTTGTTTGACGTTACTTTTAATATTTAAAATTACAGCTGGTTTGTTGTACACCACTGGATGTCGGAATAATCAGGGGTCGGCATGGGAAGTTTTCATGATATGCAATTAATTCATTATGCGTTGAAGACCTCATTGACATGTACAGTCATGGATATGTGTCCATTTACAAAATATATACTTAAGCCAGTTTCTCTCCCATAATGCAGTCTATTTACTCCGCTATATACCTTACACCAACAACCTGTTCTTTAAACCCTTTTGCACCTCTTTCCCTTCTTCCTCCCCTATCCTCTTCTCTTCCTATAATAATATACAACCTATTTTATCTATATATATATATCAGTCCACTACACATCCCTGTATATATATACTATATCTTATTATCTATATTTATATGTATAATATAAGTCAGAGCCGTCCAATCGCCGTTTCACAAAAAAAGGAGACGGATTAACATAAGTACTTGTTTTCGAATCCTATATGTAAATCTGGAATATTATACCAATAATAAAATAAAGTTTAAACTAACATTAATTTAAACATACGCGGGCACGTAATCCAATCGACCGGAAAACGAAGTTACGCAAATAATGCGCATGGGCAAGCAGTGCTCGTGCTGAGGCGGTTGCCGAAGAAAGAGCTTCAAGAGGGGTTGAATTGGGCGATCCAATAGCGAGGTGAAGTGTTACCGAGATCTTGACTGTCGTCTGCGCTTGTACAAACTGCACAGGCATATTTGAATGAAGTGGGTCGAACGGCTCAAACTTTTTGAAAACCAGAAATGACAACGGGAGCTAAACAATTCAGAAATCAAAATGTTTTTAGCCCCGATATCACGTAAGTTTATTTTAACCAGGTCGGGGAAAACCACTAACTGGCGTATAATAGGCGAGTTTGCGTATTATACGCAAGTTGGTGGTTTTCCCCAACCTGTTAACGCACAAGTACGTTATATATGCAGTGGCAGATCCATGGATATTGAAATGAGAGTGGGACCCAATATGTTTAGAAGTTATTTCTGTGTTTAATTCTCGTGCCGAAGGCATGTAGCCAAGGGGTCCTGGGACATGCAACCCCCGTGGAAAATTGTAACTGGGAGGCGCATCGGTGCGATATGGGATATTTAGTGTGACCATAGGTGGTGGGCACGTCTATCAAAAAAAAAAAAAATGAAAATATAAATCTATTTTTTTTTATTCATTTTTTTTTTTTTTTTTTTTGATAGACGTGCCCACCACCTATGGGGTGACCCCCTTTTTTCTGTGTCCAAAAATAATCTGGATCAAGGTTTTGAAGATTTTCATCTTGTTTCTTCTAATATCAACCATCCCTTGAACTATGATTTTCTATGGCATCCCCTCGCCAGCAGTTTGAATATCTATATATGTCTAAGGGTGTTGCCCAAACAAGGAGTCCACTACTTATACTCACAATAGGGGATTAATCCTCCATTGTCTATATATTAGTAGGGTCTCCAGTCAGGTCAGTGGTCAAGGCTCACCAGACTGACTCTACCTAATCTTATTGTTCTAATGTCACGGTGTGGTGATCACCCTGTCGGTTGAGAGAGGACTATACAATCTATTGGAATTAGTTACATGGTAAGTAAAGTGTTATTTCAAAGGTAGTCTATTTCATGATAGATAAACCTGTATTTTCACCAGTGGTTTCAAGTACACATGGTCACCAGGAATTATTTGTTATACCAATTAAAAAATAGAAATTCTAAAATTTTCAAAGGCAATGAAGCAGCTTGGTGTGTACACCTTTTATTAGAAATGTTTTTAATATACATAATTTATTATTTGTAAGGGTGTTGCCCTTGTTCAATAAAAGACAAACAGTTAAATCAAAATTCATATTTGTGACAAAATAAATTAATATTAAATTGTCAAAATGCTCGCCTAAGCTACATGTATATGTCAAGTTCCAACGTAAACATTCAGTGTTTACGTTGGAACTTGACATATACAAGTGACCATTTTAAGGGCCTGACACAAACATCAACATTTTAACCAAAAATTCACATTTTTTCCAATTTTGTTTTACAGACATAAAATATAACGTTTTACAGACATAAAATATAACTTGGAAACTCAGAAAACTATTCTACGCTTCACTCGATCTGTTTGTCAAATATTTTTTAAAATATATTTCTTATGATTTTTTGTCATTAACGTAAAATGATATTATAAACCAAGAAGAAACTACGTAAAATGTGTATTTTGTTGTTTGTTTTCTTTTGATTATCTGATCACACATAACACACGTGTGTGCATATCGGCATGTTCATCAATTAATTTTAGCTACATTTTACATAAAACGTTTACTTGCTTACAAAAACATATCAATTAATTAGTGTTAATGTGTTGTAACAGCTGGTGCATATCTCCTGTTGTCCCAATCTTAGAAAAAAACAAATTCTAGTTTTTTGTTGGCAGAAATTAGTATATATGCAGAACCGCCATTACAATTCTAATATATCAATACCAGATAAGTGCAAAACTCTTTTTCTGAGTTTAAAATTTTGGGCAACACCTAATATTAATTCCTGGGTCCCCCCCTGATTGTTGACTACAAAAAGCATAGAGTTAGATGTTTATTTTCATTTTTCATAAATGTAAAATTTCCGATTTTTTTACATCATTATTTTTTAAAAAGAATGCTTATATTTAATGTCTTTTGTTATCAACCTAATGATAAAATCTTGTTTTAAAAAGGTCTTCTTTTTGTTTTCCTTAAAAAAGAAAATCATGTGAAAATAGCTCAAAAGACTTATTTCAGATAGGTCAATAGAGCTATTATAGGTCTTAACAGCAATATAGCTTAATCGGCAGAGTGTACTGGACCTGAAAGAGATGCATCCAACTATCTATCTTTATGTTATATATCCACAGACCAGAATGGCTTTAATGCTGAGAAAAATTAATGCAGATTCCCCCCCCCCCCCCCATTTTCATTTTTTTTTTTTTTTGCATATGAATCCATGTAATATGACCTTTCACCCCTGTGATTGGTTGTAAGTTTCAATTGTTTCAATTGTGACGTCACACATAGGACAAGTACATGACGTCAAAGACTTGCGCACTGGAGTCAAAATAGCGTCTTTTTACATTTCAGGGTTGCATGAAAATTGTCGTTTTACGCGAATAAATGCCACAAATCTTGACTATGTGATAAAAAGGACCTTACACTCGCTTTCATTTCATATGAAATTTATGAAACTTGTCACGATTTTTTTCATTTTAGCTCGCCAAAGGGTCGCTTAATTGAAAAAAATCTTAGTCTCATTTCATAAATTTCGTATGAAATGGAAACTTGTGTACGACCCTATATATATCATAGTGTTTCAAATTATTTAATAAATATTTGTCGCCATCTTTTTTTCAAAAATGGGGCGTTCGGACACCTATGACTTCCTCCCTGCCCCAAGTATCTGCCCATGTTATGCTGTACATGTCATCCCACAAGAAATAACAAAGACAGTAGGAGAATATGTCAAAATGTCTTGAAAAATGAGAGGGCTGATTCTCTTTTAGAGTAGGGTAACATTGGAGAGATAATTACTGTATTTGTTCTACATTGTATGTGTTACTATGATAACAGTTACGAGATACACAATTTTACTTGTCCCATGTTGTGACTCGTTACAGATGCTGTAGATGCAACGTATACCACCTTGGCAACCTTGACCGCATGTCCAGTAACGCCTGTTACAGATCACGTAAAAAAGCCAAAACGGATAAGGACAAGTTACACGGAGACACAAATCAATGAGTTTGAGAAAATCTTTGTCAACAACCAATATCCATCTCGAAAGTTGATGGACAAACTCTCAAATACCTTAGACATTCCTGTCGAGAGGATGAGGGTGAGTCGCCGCATACTGAATCACAATAATTAGTAAAACCATGTTAACTACAATAATTTGTTCTACAATATTTTGACCTACAAAGCAGACCACTAGGTACTTAATTGAAGGAGATTTATGAAGGAAGAATGAAAAATATTGGAAATACACCCTGTAAAACCAGAATGCTACATGAGATGTGAATATAAAACGGTGGTATCATTGTAATCTTTTACTGTCTGCCTTTTGTACTGATGAGTGAGTTACAGTAGTATATACAGTATATAACAAGCTCTTATTGACAGGGGGGCCATAACAGAGGTCCCCAAAACTACCTCTATTTTCGTAAATATAGTGCTAATTGAAGTCGCTGTACTATTTGTAACGACATGATACACCTACTCACCATTAATTTGATCAAAATATGTTGCTATCCAAACTTCTACTGTTTGCAAATCATCTTGGATGTGCTGTGGCCAAAAATTGTCTTGTATATTTAGGAATACCTACCAATACGCATTGGTTTTGGGGACTTAATGACATTCTGACATAATAAGATCAGATGCATTATACCACCAGCCAAGTTTAGCCATAAAAGATGAGAGCATTAACAATATTTGAACTGCAGTGTGTCGATGGGGCAGATATAAATCTTGGTATCAGGAAAAGTTGTGTTGGACCTCTAAAAGGGTTTTTTAAATGATTATTTTAGAAACTGTTCATCTTGGGAGAGTTCTTGGTGAAACTCATGATGGTTTTTATCAAATTTAAATTTAGAGTTGTATTAGAGTTGTGGAATAAGAAAATAAAATGGAAAGGTAACTTTTGAGACGTTACCATAAGCACCAAGTTTATCAGTATTATAAGAAATTGCATCATTTGCAAAAAAATATTGTGTTGCCATGCATGTATATCAATACTTGAGCACAAATGTATGAATTTTTCAGACATGGTTTCAGAATAGAAGATCAAGACAAAAAAAAGTTAGACAAAGCAAAATCTCAAAACATCCACTGACAACTGCCTACTCTCACACAGACACCTTCCCAGAGGACATGGATCCATCCTTCCACTGCCTGGGAGGGACAGCCATGGCGGTGCCCAGTGGGGCAGATGAGATGAACCATTGGTTGTACGCCCACACAACCTACACACCCACTACTAACCAGGCATGCATGAACTGTGACAGTCGGACAGTGTACTCCACTCTCTACCACCACCCAGTGATGACACCTGGAGTGGTCAGATCTCCCAGGTAAGCTATATATGGTGGCGTTTGAAACGGTTCATGAAGCGCAGAAATATTCCACGATAAACTAACGCACTTGGGCCGAACTGCAGGCAGAGCTAAAATTTAAATGCACAGTTTCGGAGAATAAACAACAATTCATTAAGAATAATATGTCCTTTCCCATGTCCACATAATTCTATAATGTATCTTAAAATCTACATATGGTTTGACCTTGTTTTATAAAGAAAAAACGCAAACAAGCAATAGTCAGCATTAAGTTTCAGTCGAGCACGTCTGGCCCCCTCAATCTATACTTGCCGAATATTCCTGAGGTCGCCCTCAGTTTAGATCTGTGCCTGTCGTTTTCTTTCAGGTTCAACCGTTTCAGTTGGTTGAACAGGATAAACGAAAGGGGCGTAGGTCTAGCACTCACTTCAAGGTCACAGGTATAGATCAAACATGACACCTCTTAACTGGTTAGCACAATGAGAGTTTAATTATGCTTTGGTGGTTTGGATTCAAAGTTGTACAAATGGAGTGGTGGATGAGTGGGGTCATGAAGGGGTAATATGGCCATATTTGTTTATGCCTCTTCTTTGCAAATATGTGATAGATAAAGATGTTACCTAAAGGGTGTAACCAGACCATAGGAACTGAACATGAAAGCGATTGAGATCCCCACCTTATAACCGTATACAAATTTGGTACAAGTGATGGTTATGAAAATACCTTGAAGGAGTTCCTGTTACAGGGTACTGCTCCTTAGGTCAAGGTCATGGACACTTAATGTCGTCTTGCTCATATTTTTAGAAAACATTTGCCATTGCTGTAGCAACCCCCAAATTCAGACAAAATTAGGTTTACATTGTTAATATAATGGATCAATGAATGTCAGGGTGCTGTAGGGTCAAGGACACTTAACTTATTTTAGAAAATAATTTTCATTGTTTCTGGCAACATTATCTTTGACTGGATATCTATGAAAATTTGGAAATAGGTTCAAGGTAAAAACCGAATGAAAATACCTAAATCAGGTTAATGTGAGGCAGATTTGTTTGGTTAATGTTACCTTGTTTAAACCAGTGGCCTTTCAAATACTACACAAACCTTGTAGGTTAGGTGACATGTAGGTTCGGTAGAGCCAATGAATATTGCTGTGTTAAAATGTATGTTTAGTTTGTAATTTTAAAATAAAACTTCGTTTTGTTGTAATATGATATTTGATATTCACTTAAGGATTGGTTGTCATATTTTGATGTTTATTGGCGTGTAAACTACATCGGGCTTGCAATATATTGAATGTTAAATATATCGCAAGCCCGATGTAGTTTACACGCCAATAAACGTCAAAAATATGACAACCAATCCTTATATTTATATTTCAAACCAACAATATTAGTTGTGCAATGTTGCAAGTATTGTTAATTGCTGTTTTAAAACTCTTATACACACCGACTGGGTCAGCGGTAAATTGTTCGAAACAGCCGGGTAGACGCATTACACAGTCGTTGTCAAGGGCAACCAGGCCGACAAAAACAATAAACAATAAAGTTCCACAGTTTAATAATTGATTTTTTTTATTTAAATGCATATATGTCAATTACCAATTTGTATACTAACATGTGACCATTTAATATATGTTGTGGTCATTTAGCGATTTAACTGTCATACAATAACATTTTGAGACACAACACAGCGGAACATCGGCACTTGGCGGTTATTAGGTCAGTGTATCACTACACTGACCTAATCCCCGTTGTAGTTCATTGGAAAATATGTTACAATGGGACCAGTAGAGTTATCTAGGCACTATGCAGTGCAAATGTAAATATTACAAATTGGAACTTAATTTTGTTTTCTTGTTTTCTGAAGTGAACAACTGGATAACTACCCAAGGTCATCAAACAGAGGCTGCTATATTGGAAACCAGCCTTGCTATGCAAATCAAAGCTGCATGCAATTGGCCACGCCTACTGCCATGGGTTACAATTTCCAACAACCAATAAGCCATCCGAACACACCTCAATTTGGTATGAACTTGTCACCACATAATCTGGGGAATGTTGATGTCAGCCCGAGCCCTGCAGGGCCCTTGTCTGGCCAACAGATAGGAGGGTATGACAACGACAAACCCCACAGTGCTAACAATGTATACTCACATGTTTGGAATAGAAACACACACAGTGCTTACAATGACCCAATGTGTTCAGTCAGTGCTAGTAACAGTTCCTCTGTTTTTCCAGATAATAACATCAATGCCATGTACAACTTGTTAGTAAATGTTGGACAGCTTCAGTTGTCATCGTATCACATGCAAGTTAACGCCAATGCCACACTATGTGAGCAGTCATGTGGCGATTTGGATGACGATGTTGTTCACAGGCTAGGATCCAGATGTCAGAGTGTGGATGGAAACTCATTTGTGACTCCTCAATCCTGCAATCCAATGGAATCACAGCATGTGGTACAGACTGCCTGTTACACCCCGCCCCCTCAGTTAACAGAATCCCCTGGGAGTCATTCCAGTGTCCACCCTTGGCAGGCCACCAGTAGTAGGGACTTAAGATCATGGAACTACAACCGTCTCTTGTTCAGCTCACAGCCCTCTCCAGTAGGCTCCCTACAGATTCAAGAAGAGGTCAACTTCAACAGATGTAGAGATGAAATGCCAAATTCAAGGTTGAACTTGGGATGCAAACAATATTTTAGACCTTTAGGGGAAACAAACCTCAATTTTATTTGGGCAAGCAACAACAACATCGGTCATTCTGCTAGGTCGACTGATGATGACACTTGGTCAACAATAAACTCCCAGGACTCCGACACTGAATCCCTCGAGTCGTTTGGAAGTGGCCAATGTATTCAGCAGATAGACATGACAGCCAGTCTGCTGCCTGAGTTTAGTCCATATGGTCCAATGTCTCCAGACAGTTTCCGTTGTGACACTCCACACCTTGATCTGATGCATGGATTAGTAAAAGAACAAATGCTCTGTTCTTATGGTGTTTCTGATAAATGCTGACAAATTTATATTATGTGACATATACTTGACTGGTCATTATAGGGTTAGTCATTATATGTACATTAGTAATCATCTTGATTTGTTCTTTCATTCAAAGTCATCAGTAACGACGTGCGTGTCGGTATTCGGGTGTTCAAGGTCACTGGTAATGCCGTTTCTGTTTAGGGAAATCAGATATTAGTAGTGCTGTATGAAATCAAAGTCAATGTTTCGGGGACTCTAGCTCTGTGGTAATTTTATGGGGAGGAATTCAAGTGCAGCCTTAATATTGATGTTTTTGGGAGGGGCAAAGTCAATGTTGATGTTATTGTTGGGAGGATCGAGGTCAGCAGTGAAGCATGTTAAGATAAGTGCTAATATTTGGGTAAGAACGTTGTAATGTTACAGTAAAGTTACAAGTGGCTTGTAATGTTTGGGGGGGTTGCATTGGGAATGTTGTTGGGGAGGAATGAAGGTCATTGGCAATGTTGTTAGGGAGGAATGAAGGTCATTGGTAATGTTGTTAGGGAGGACTCAAGGTCATTGGTAATGTGGTAAGGGGAGAGGGTCTAGGCCATTGGTAATGTTGTTAGGGTGTAATGAAGGTCATTGGTAATGCTGTAAGGGGAGAGGTTCTAGGTAATTGATAATGTTGTTAGGGGATAGGGTCTAGGTCATTGGTAATGTTGTTAGGGATGAATCAAGGTCATTGGTAATGTTCTTAGGGAGGAATCAAGGTCCTTGGTAATGTTGTAAGGGGGGAGGGTCTAGGTCATTTGTAATGTTGTATGGGGAGAGGTTCTCGGTCATTGGTAATGTTTTAAGGGGAAAGGTTCTAGGTCATTGATAATGCTGTAAGGGGAGAGGTTCTAGGTCATTGATAATGCTGTAAGGGGAGAGGTTCTAGGTAATTGATAATGTTGTTAGGGGAGAGGTTCTAGGTCATTGATAATGTTTTAAGGGGAGAGGTTCTAGGTAATTGATAATGTTGTTAGGGGAGAGTGTCTAGGTCATTGGTAATGCTGTAAGGGGAGAGTTTCTAGGTCATTGATAATGCTGTAAGGGGAGAGGTTCTAGGTTATTGATAATGTTGTAAGGGGAGAGAGTCTAGGTCATTGATAATGTTTTAAGGGGAGAGGTTCTAGGTTATTGATAATGTTGTAAGGGGAGAGAGTCTAGGTCATTGATAATGCTGTAAGGGGAGAGGTTCTAGGTTATTGATAATGTTGTAAGGGGAGAGGGCCTAGGTCATTGATAATGTTTTAAGGGGAGAGGTTCTAGGTCATGGATAATGTTGTAAGAGAGGAATCAGTCATTAGTAATGTTGTTGGGGAGGAATCAAAGTAATTGGTAATGTTGTAAGGGGGGAGGGTCTAGGTCATTAGTAATGTTGTAAGGGGAGAGAGTCTAGGTCATTGATAATGCTGTAAGGGGAGAGTTTCTAGGTCATTGGTAATGCTGTTAGGGAGGAATCAAGGCCATTGGTAATGCTGTTAGGGAAGAATCAAGGTAATTGGTAATGCTGTTAGGGAGGAAACAAGGTCATTGGTAATGTTCTTAGGGAGGAATCAAGGTCCTTGGTAATGTTGTAAGGGGTGAGGGTCTAGGTCATTGGTGATGTTGTAAGGGGAGAGGTTCTCGGTCATTGGTAATGTTGTTATGGAGGAATCAAGGTCATTGGTAATGTTCTTAGGGAGGAATCAAGGTCCTTGGTAATGTTGTAAGGGGATAGGTTCTCGGTCATTGGTAATGTTGTACGGGGAGAGGGTCTAGGTCAGTGGTAATGTTGTAAGGGGATAGGTTCTCGGTCATTGGTAATGTTGTTAGGGATGAATCAAGGTCATTGGTAATGCTGTTAGGGAGGAATCAAGGTCATTGGCAATGCTGTTAGGGAGGAATCAAGGTCATTGGTAATGTTGTTAGGGAGGAATCAAGGTCATTGGTAATGTTGTTAGGGAGGAATCAAGGTCATTGGTAATGTTGTAAGGGGAGAGGTTCTAGGTCATTGGTAATGTTGTAAGGGGAGAGGTTCTAGGTCATTGGTAATGTTGTAAGGGGAGAGGTTCTAGGTCATTGGTAATGTTGTAAGGGGAGAGGTTCTAGGTCATTGGTAATGTTGTAAGGGGAGAGGTTCTAGGTCATTGGTAATGTTGTAAGGGGAGAGGTTCTAGGTCATTGGTAATGTTGTAAGGGGAGAGGTTCTAGGTCATTGGTAATGTTGTAAGGGGAGAGGTTCTAGGTCATTGGTAATGTTGTAAGGGGAGAGGTTCTAGGTCATTGGTAATGTTGTAAGGGGAGAGGTTCTAGGTCATTGGTAATGTTGTAAGGGGAGAGGTTCTAGGTCATTGGTAATGTTGTAAGGGGAGAGGGTCTAGGTCATTGGTAATGTTGTAAGGGGAGAGGTTCTAGGTCATTGGTAATGTTGTAAGGGGAGAGGTTCTAGGTCATTGGTAATGTTGTAAGGGGAGAGGGTCTAGGTCATTGGTAATGTTGTAAGGGGAGAGGTTCTAGGTCATTGGTAATGTTGTAAGGGGAGAGGTTCTAGGTCATTGGTAATGTTGTAAGGGGAGAGGTTCTAGGTCATTGGTAATGTTGTAAGGGGAGAGGGTCTAGGTCATTGGTAATGTTGTAAGGGGAGAGGTTCTAGGTCATTGGTAATGTTGTAAGGGGAGAGGTTCTAGGTCATTGGTAATGTTGTAAGGGGAGAGGGTCTAGGTCATTGGTAATGTTGTAAGGGGAGAGGTTCTAGGTCATTGGTAATGTTGTAAGGGGAGAGGTTCTAGGTCATTGATAATGTTGTAAGGGGAGAGGGTCTAGGTCATTGGTAATGTTGTAAGGGGAGAGGGTCTAGGTCATTGATAATGTTTTAAGGGAAGAGGTTCTAGGTCATTGATAATGTTGTAAGAGAGGAATCAGTCATTAGTAATGTTGTTGGGGAGGAATGAAGGTCATTGGTAATGTTAGGGAGAAATCAAGGTCATTGGTAATGCTGTTAGGGAGGAATCAAGGTAATTGGTAATGTTGTAAGGGGTGAGGGTCTAGGTCATTAGTAATGTTGTAAGGGGAGAGGGTCTAGGTCATTGGTAATGTTGTAAGGGAGGAATCAAGGTCATTGGTAATGCTGTTAAGGGAGGAATCAAGGTCATTGGTAATGCTGTTAGGGAGGAATCAAGGTCATTGGTAATGCTGTTAGGGAGGAATCAAGGTCATGGGGAATGTTGTTAGGGAGGAATCAAGGCCATTGGTAATGTTGTTAGGGAGGAATGAAGGTCATTGGTAATGTTGTAAGGGGAGAGGTTCTAGGTCATTGGTAATGATGTAAGGGGAGAGGGTCTAGGTCATAGATAATGTTTTAAGGGAAGAGGTTCTAGGTCACTGATAATGTTGTAAGAGAGGAATCAAAGTCATTAGTAATGTTGTTGGGGGGGAATGAAGGTCATTGGTAATGTTGTTAGGGCGGAATGAAGGTCATTGGTAATGCTGTTAGGGAGGAATGAAGGTCATTGGTAATGTTGTTAGGAAGGGAAGAGGTTCTAGGTCACTGATAATGTTGTAAGAGAGGAATCAAAGTCATTGGTAATGTTGTTAGGGAGGAATGAAGGTCTTTGGTAATGTTGTTAGGGAGGAATCAACGTCATTGGTAATGTTGTTAGGGAGGAATTAAGGTCATTGGTAATGTTGTTAGGGAGGAATCGAGGTCCTTGGTAATGTTGTTAGGGAGGAATCAAGGTCATTGGTAATGCTGTTAGGGAGGAATGAAGGTCATTGGTAATGGTGTTAGGGAGGAATCAAGGTCATTGGTAATGTTGTAAGGGGAGAGGCTCTAGGTCATTGGTAATGCTGTAAGGGGAGAGGATCTAGGTCATTGATAATGTTGTAACGGGAGAGGGTCTAGGTCATTGGTAATGTTGTAAGGGGAGAGGTTCTCGGTCATTGGTAATGTTGTAAGGGGAGAGGCTCTAGGTCATTGGTAATGCTGTAAGGGGAGAGGTTCTAGGTCATTGGTAATGATGTAAGGGGGGAGGGTCTAGGGCATAGATAATGTTTTAAGGGAAGAGGTTCTAGGTCACTGATAATGTTGTAAGAGAGGAATCAAAGTCATTAGTAATGTTGTTGGGGGGGAATGAAGGTCATTGGTAATGTTGTTAGGAAGGGAAGAGGTTCTAGGTCACTGATAATGTTGTAAGAGAGGAATCAAAGTCATTAGTAATGTTGTTGGGGAGGAATGAAGGTCATTGGTAATGTTGTTAGGGAGGAATTAAGGTCATTGGTAATGTTGTTAGGGAGGAATTAAGGTCATTGGTAATGTTGTTAGGGAGGAATGAAGGTCTTTGGTAATGTTGTTAGGGAGGAATCAAGGTCATTTGTAATGTTGTTAGGGAGGAATGAAGGTCTTTGGTAATGTTGTTAGGGAGGAATCAACGTCATTGGTAATGTTGTTAGGGAGGAATGAAGGTCATTGGTAATGTTGTAAGGGAGGAATCAAGGTCATTGGTAATGCTGTTAGGGTGTAATGAAGGTCATTGGTAATGTTGTTAGGGAGGAATTAAGGTCATTGGTAATGTTGTTAGGGAGGAATTAAGGTCATTGGTAATGCTGTTAGGGAGGAATGAAGGTCATTGGTAATGCTGTTAGGGAGGAAACAAGGTCATTGGTAATGCTGTTAGGGAGGAATGAAGGTCATTGGTAATGTTGTAAGGGAGGAATCAAGGTCATTGGTAATGCTGTTAAGGGAGGAATCAAGGTCATTGGTAATGTTGTTATCAAGGTCATTGGCAATGCTGTTAGGGAGGAATCAAGGTCATTGGTAATGCTGTTAGGGTGTAATGAAGGTCATTGGTAATGTTGTTAGGAAGGGAAGAGGTTCTAGGTCACTGATAATGTTGTAAGAGAGGAATCAAAGTCATTGGTAATGTTGTTAGGGAGGAATGAAGGTCTTTGGTAATGTTGTTAGGGAGGAATCAACGTCATTGGTAATGTTGTTAGGGAGGAATGAAGGTCATTGGTAATGTTGTTAGGAAGGGAAGAGGTTCTAGGTCACTGATAATGTTGTAAGAGAGGAATCAAAGTCATTGGTAATGTTGTTAGGGAGGAATTAAGGTCATTGGTAATGCTGTTAGGGAGGAATCAAGGTCATTGGCAATGCTGTTAGGGAGGAATCAAGGTCATTGGTAATGCTGTTAGGGAGGAAACAAGGTCATTGGTAATGTTGTTAGGGAGGAATCAAGGCCATTGGTTATGCTGTTAAGGAGGAATGAAGGTCTGTTGTTAAGGAGTAATGAAGGTGACTGGTAATATCATTAGGGAGAAATCATGGTCATTGGTAACGTTTTTTGAGGGGGAATCAAGTTTATTGGTAATGTTTGAGGGAAAGTCATTGGTGATGTATTTTGTAGGAATCAAGGTTGTTGTATAGTTATTGCTTTGGCAGTACATCAATTTGCATGTCGGTTAATTTGTGTGTCAGTACTGTAGTATAAACCTTGTGTACAAGATACCTCATGAACCTTTCACATGATTCAGTTTATATTTACATCTTAGTGTGGTCGCATTTCGGTTCCAAACCCGATTAGATTTGGTGGTCATAACATTGACTTGTGTAGAACTTTTTCAGGCAACATAGTTATCAAAATGCTGACCAGTCCATTACTATGAGGAAATGTTGGATCTCGAAATGTTGACAGGTCCTACAGGAAAACTTAAATCCAAACTTCAAATAATCTGTGTACCAAACATCCTTGCATCAGTCAAGGTTTATGGGTCAAAGATCACACTTGACCACTTTTGAAGTAAAAAGCTTGTGTACAAGATATCTCGCAAATCCTTCAACTGATTAGTTTATATTCATACCATTTTGTGATAATATCAAATTCAAGGTCCATTGTTTGATTGATTGGTGAAGAAGTTTAAGCATTTTTCTGAAAACAGCTGCAGCAATTGACTCCAAACTTTGGCACAAATGTTTTGTATTAGATTCCAACTAAGTGTTAAATTTTTCACTAAAATCCATAAATCCGAGATGGCCACACTGGCTTTTATTGGCAACACACTTCTCTCTGATTAGCTGCGACATGTTCTTCTCAAAATTGCTGCAATGATAGACTTTTAACTTGATAAAACATTACCTTTTTACAAAGTGTTACTTATTGTGCCTATTCAAATATCCAAAGGGAAGGTCCAAGGGGACTCAAATTAAATTTCAATTGAGTCTGGAACATCCTTAGGTCAAGGGCATAGGAGAGGGGGCCCAATAGGGGAAATAGAGGTAAAACCTTTGAATTCCTTTTCTGGCGTAGGGATAAAGTGATTCCTTATGCAAAGGGAAATCAATTTTGTATAAATGGTGGGTGTGACCCCCTTTGGAAAGAGTGGTGGGTCCGAATAGGGGAAATAAAGGTAAACCTTTAAAATCCATTTTCTACCATAGGGATTAAGAGATTTCATCCCAATATGGTCTGGAGCATCCTTATGCCAAGGACACTCTATTTTGTGTAAACAGTGGGTGTGGCCCCCAGGGCAGAAGTGCCAATAGGGTTAAACCTTTGAAATCCTTCTACCATAGGGATTACATGATTTTATCCCAATTTTGTCTCCATCAAGTTGTCTGGTAGTGCCTGTTACTATTAGGGTATTCATTAAAACAAGATGGCCACCAGGCCCCATCTTGGATTTTGACGTTTGAAGTTTGTTCTCGTTATATCTCCAGAAATACCGGATGGTTATTCTGAAATCTCATACGTACATCTTAACATAATATCAAGTATTTTAAACATATCCAGGTGAGCGATATAGACCCTCTGGGCCTCTCGTAACTTCATCCCAATGAATGGCTGCAGGGATAGACTACAAACTTGGTACAAATATTTTGTTCAAGTTTCTGAAAAAGGTTTTTGTGTTTTTCTAGGTCACATGAGCAATGCCACATTAGCAAATGTAGAATCATGTTATATTAATAGTTTTGAGTAATGGCAGAAAATTTTGCAATGAATTGCAATAACCAATCTTGTATTTGTTTTTATAATTTTCACCAATGAGAAAGTTCCTACAGCAGGAATGTAGTATAATTTACAGGTTTTGATTAAGGATATTATAAATGCGAGAAAATGAAAGGTGCTAATTGTCATGGACACATTGTTTTATATTTTCCACTATTTTTTGTTAACGGTTTGATACAGGTTAAGTATTGGAGTGATTACAGATGATTTGTTATGCTATACTAATATGTTAATCAATCATTGTTTCATTAATTTTGTATTAAACTTTGTTAAAATGTCAAAATTTTGTTCATATTTTGTTGATAGAGTTAAGGTGATACCCCTACTGGCAGTTCAGTACCACTGCATCAGAGAAGAGTTCCACGAGGCAGTTTTCTGACTCTGATATTGTTAAAAAGTACAAAAATATTATGGTTTTCCTGTCAAAAACCATGTATATTTCACTTTTATGTCAAATTTTATATGTATTTTCACCTGTGAGAAAAAGGTAAGTTTTATCATACTGGTGAAATATGTATGGTATATAACAAGATGTACCCAGTCCAATTCTGTCCCCATATGTGACTTCAACCTTCATTTATATTATATACAGAACTGAAACGCCTTGTACCAGGGATGTATAATGTCAAGTTAGTTATGTTCTCACTTTTTCGAGAGTAGTCTTTTTAGAGTTGATCAATATTTGGCTCCACTTTGGTCAATACCAAATTTTATCTTTTTGGCTCAGAAAGGTTTCATACCAATTACAGTCAAAATTTGTCAGTCCATTCTTCAGTGGTATTTTAAGGTATACACGTAGTCCCTTGGGCATGAAAGAGTATTTTTCTCTCATTCCAATCACTAGAATAAACTCGCAAACCATGAAAATGCATTTGGACTGGCCACCATTTTGAAAATATCAATCCCCCCCCTCCCTCTGAGCTTTTAAGACAGAAACAAATCAGCCAGCCAGATTTAGCATATCCAATACAGAGTTTGCGCAGGAAAACTAATCACATCTACGGTAAATATATTGTAAAAGGTTTTTAATTTCATCACGTCGTCTTTTCTGCATTGTGGCATCGGAGAGTTCCAAATTTGCGACGTCACGTCACGTGAAATGGTGTGTGCTTACCCTGGACAGCTCTATCTTACACACATGGAAATGAGAGAAAATATTATACATTTTGCCATCACGTACAAAATTTGGTAATTCTAGCTGACAGGGTATTCTGTCTTTTCGTATTGCAGAGTTATTGGTTTGTGAGAGTAACGTCATAAATTTTTGAGAAAACGACGTAATTTTCTCACACCTGCTCACAACAGAAGATCACTCTGCAATACGCAAAGACAGAATAGGAGCTATACCCTGGTCAAACTTGCCCTATGTTACTTAAAATCTGATGGATGAGGTTCTATAACCTATAGTCCCCTCTGATAGTACTGGTAGGGGACTAATAAGCAACAAACACATTTTTGTTAAAAGATTTTCTTCTGTAGTGAACAGAAATTTTATTATATGACCAGTAACATGATGTCTAACTATCTGTATAATCTGACAAGCACACACACAGCACAGTGCAACCTACCACATAGCACCAGTTAACATGTGCAATATGAAAGACAAGAATAGAATAAAACACACTAGATTTGGGATGCGGTAATTCTGGGCATAATGGCATAACTTATATGCTACAATCACATCACAATACTGCAGTTCCACGCTAGTGTTGTATGATATCAAATTAACTCTGTATATCCGGACTACTGTAGTAACGTGTAATTATATACAACCCATCTGTACACCGACACTTTGAACAATCACAGTCATTGTAGAACTGCTGTGTCGGTGCATTATGATATGTCGCTAAAAAAAGCGTGATAACCTAATGCTTGCACTAGTAAGTATGTACTCGCAGAGACTGGCTTGGTCTGTATTTCAAAACTGACAGGATGGTCCCCGACATGATGTCTTGAAAGCTAGCTTATTAATTCTCAATGCACATCAACATGATTTAGAATATTCAAGGTTAACGGTGCTACATATCCTTTCATTAATGAAACATCAAGTATGTTTATATTCTGTAAATATGGTAAGCTAGGGACAGCAGAAGTAGCCATCACCACGACTGCCCAGATATCAATTGTATGAGCTAGCATGAACATGTCTATCTACTGTTGTAAACCAGCATTACATCACTATCGCTGTGTAACACTGAAACAGTTACTCACTGTACACCTGTGACAGTTACAGTAACACACTTGAGCAAGCCAATTTGGTTCAAGAGTTTCTCATGGACATGTGATTGGACATTTGAAACCGAAATGGATACACAACACTTTTTATCACCACCTTTTAATGGTAACTTTAAGATATCTGCGCGACTTCTGCCGGAATATGCCCACAAAATGGAGTTAGACTTTACAATTCTCGAGAGGGATCATCCTTATAAAAGATGCTCTTGAACAAGACCCTTTCATACCCATGTTTTATTATTCTTTGTGTGTGGACCTGTTTTAGACCTCACTACTTGTTCTGTTTTTCTAAGGTGTGGTACCTCAAGCAGGGTTACTTTGGATTTTATGATGACTTGTTAAAAAAACTGATGACTGAATTACAATTTCTTCTTCTTAAACTCATCCACTATCTGATGCATCAGAATGTACCACATTTCAGTCTACATGTACTGCTGTGTTGACATGAACAAGTGAGATATTTAAGGCCAGCTTACACACATTTTGTCTACTACCAGGAAGCATTTAATGGTACAAAAGCAAATTCACTACTGAACATGCTGAAATGTAATCCAACTTAAATTTCTAGCTGTTATGAATCTAGAACCTGCTGCAGAAAATATGAAAAATAAAAATACCATGGTAACAAAACACAATATTATGCTTTCTAATTCAGATAATTGATACTTTTGACAGCATTGGCAATGATATGAAGATGAATTCAAATTAACTTGATTATAAACTTAATTTTGTGGGTTCATATTTGTACTGGAGTATTTCTTGAATCACATGGAAGAGCAAATGGTCAAAGATTTTTTATTTATCTGACCAGGATCATCATTCAAATAAAAAACATTCCGATATGAATTTCGTGTCATGTATTGTACATGGCTACACGCATGATGTATGTTGTCCTCCTGGTCTGTCTCCATGCATGTGAAACCATAGTCCAGATACAGGAGATGTTTTTGTTTATAGAATGTCGCACAACTTGCTAATCTGTAAACACATGGTCTCTTACATACCAAAGCATCTCTGTAGAGTTGGTCAGACCACATCAATAGGCCACCGTCTCTAGAATATTGAATCGTTTTGAAAAAAAAATAACTTCATAATTTTGATCACTTGGATATCTGATTCTAGAGCTCTCAAACTAGGGGGAGATAAGCTTTAGTATAGGGGGAGATAAGCTTTAGTAAACTGCAGCTAGATAATTCTGCATAAAAACTTAGGGGCTGGTAACCAGTCTACTTCAATCTCATAATATAAAATGATAAAAAGTATGAAGGAAGTCATATTTCTGAGAATCAAACAATGATACTGATATTTTTATTAAGTGCAACATGGGATGTTACATCAATACATACATCTATTTTTGTGGGGGAAAAAAATACAAATGTATTGCAGAACTGATGAGTTAAATTTTTCATCAGCCAAAGACTGATTTATATCACACAGAACTGAACCAGTTAAACAAATCACTCCATATTAATATTTATTGTTTTCATTAACTTAACATTGATCTATCTCACAACCTATCTCAAACACAGGGAAATTCAGCAGAGACATCAGGTAATGTAATACAGATCCAAGAAGGTTCAGTCTATATGTTGTGCACTGCGGTAAAAACTTAATACATAATACACAGTGCATATAGTGTATTCATACTTATTGACAAGCACACTACAAAACTAACTATAATCATTTCTACATACATTATTGCAACAGATTAAACCAGATTTACCTAACTATGTGTGAGAACCGATAGCTGTTCAAATAACAAACGTATTGCTTCTCATATATACAATTATATTAAATCCAACAGATAATGTATCACAGACCTCAATGCCTCGTCAGTACAAAGTCACTGTCATTATATATTGACCTCCTCCACTGTAGGGAATCTATAGCGGTAGACAAATGTTTGGATCAATATGAAATGTTTGTACCGAGACTCGAATGATGGCAAAACCACACAAGATCTGGATTTTTTACCTTGTTGATTAAAGTATTTTAGTCACTGTACCGTGATCAACAAGGTAAATGTGAGTTAAAAGAACTAAACTTAATTTAAATAGGGATATTTTAACATAATTATATATAGAGGCTAATTTGAACTTTGAAAGCATCATTGGCTTTGTCAACAGTCGAGTCTTGAGAACAGACATTTTGGATAAATCCAACCCTTTTTGTACCTGGTATATTCCATACAGTGTTCTCTGTAGCTTAGATATGTTTACATCCCAAATCATCAGCTACTCTGCTACCCCTGAACACCGCTCCTTTTGTGTTAATTAACACCTATCCTACAAATAGACCAGTAATGTATAGCTCTCCTTACACTATCTATCCCCCCAAAAATGTTTATACATATCTTTTTCACCCTTAATACCTGCTAAAATAGCTAATCCTATCCATCCCACTACATATAGACGTACGCCATCCCACTGAACCTAAACAAGCAACACGGTACACATAGTAACAACAGTACTTCACATGACAAGATCAGTTATATCTTGGCTTTTACAGTATAAATATACACCATCGTAACCTTACAGACACGCCGACAGAACACCGACCTCCATCAGGGAGACGAAACCTGCATGGGTGGAGTCATGTAGGCGATAAACCCGTCAACCAACCAACCTTACAGACATTCTCTCTCGTGTTTATTGTCGTGACATCACTAGAGATATATTATTTTAAAACACTGTATTTAATTACAATTAGAATTGTGTTTTTTAATTATTTAAGAAATGTTCACTTTTATGTTGACATCCTTGGTTTCCCATTCCATGATGAACATTATCATAGGAGAATAACATTATTTAGAAAATACCCTATATACAATATGTAACTTTAATCTCCCCAAAAACACAAGCTTTGTAGTACAGCTACATACACTGTTAATCATACTCCTGGTACTCTGGGTTTTATTACAGGGACAATATGTGGCTACAACACAACACCAACAGCTTCTAATACTACATTTAGGTATCGTGTCTGGGGCCCGATCTGATCAATGCTGATGAACAAATATTTCTTAATGATTAAAAAAGTACATTTCACAAGAGAAACACTGAATATCACGTTGAGAATGAAAGCCCTGTATAGTACCTATATCACACATTTATACACAATAGATTCTCTCTGACATCAGGTTGAGTGTGGCTAAATCCAACTGTTACAATACAAGTACTGATGTGTAGTATTATACAGCCTCAATAAACACCAGGTCAGGTTAATACTCACGGTATCCCAAAGTGATATAAGAACTATGGTATTGACTGTGAACTGCTTCAGTGGTACTGTATAACAGGATAGGCGATTCGTTCATGAAAGATGTTATTCATGCATTGTTAAATTAGAGGTATCATGATGGTAAAGGTATATATACATATTCTAAAATAAATGGAAGTGTTGAAATGGCACCTAGCATGTGAAATTAAGACTACTGCAAATATTGCCTGTTATACAGTATATGTATATGATAAATCTCAAATTATAAGCTGACTTTTGTAACAGTCGGACACCTTTATATATATTTCTGCTGTTTAACAGTGTTTTCCACACCACTGTATCGTATGTATTTGCAATACAAGAAGTGAATGTCAATTATCTTGCACTTGCTCTAACTGAAATCAAACCAGCAGCTTTAAGAAAGAATTTCTTCTCATTCTTTATCTCACTTACACAAACTCATCTTAAGGATCACAAAAAGTCACACACTCTGTCTGTCCTTTCATCGATCACCTAGTTCACACACTCTATCTCTGTCCTTTCATCGATCACCTAGTTCACACCATCTACCCCAAACTTCCGGTACAGCAGCCGTCTACAGCCTACAACCATTACGGTGGTACCAAAGTTCAGGGTAACCATATAGTTCAGGATATCAATGTGTTAACTGATAAACTCAGACTTCCATTTTTCCTCATCCTCCTTACGAGCATCCGGTTTGATCTGGTTCCTCATTCCTCCTAGCACGTTAGACGTAGCCTCGGAGGCAATGATGAGAGGGGAGATAACTGTTGGTGGGATCTGACGAATCACACCTCCCATGGCTCCTGTCACACCCTTCTGCTCATGTTCTTTGGATGCGACGATCACCATGTTCTGGGCTGTGTCAGAGAAGCCCTGTAGAGACAAGAATTATGCGTTATCTGTTATATATATATCAGCATCAGGTAATTGAACTGTTACTATCTAGAAACTTGTACTGCAATATTTTCAAGGCTGTTTTTAAGGCTATTCAGTTGTTAAGTGTTCAAATTAGTAAACAGCTATGTATGTTAGGAAAGTTTACGTTTGAGGCTAACAAATTTAGAGACCTTTATTTATCATCATGAATTCTAATGTACTATATCTTTATACATTGTATTCTGTATCATATACTGATGGGCCAATAGCCTAAAGTTTGAATAAATCTTGAATGACTGACAACCTTAACTGTTAAGCTTTGATATCTGAACACTGACCATGGTAATAGGGGAAACATCATTTAAAAAGTTGTAACATTCAGTGTACATCTTTTACCTACTGAGATATGTTTTGTTTTGTCCATGTACCAGCTGTATAATGATGTTCAATTCCGATTTCAGATTCCATAATTGTGCAAATGACTTAAATTTTGCACACTATTTGAACATTCTTTGAATTTATCATTTCAATAAAATCGTGATGTTGAGTTGTTTATCAATTTATTGTACTGCGAGGACAGTAAATTACAAAATCAATTTACTTTTGGATTGATTTTTCAATCAAATTAGTAATACTGCTATCACTATTTTGCATGAATCAATTACCTAGTCCTATCTAGACATGAAGTCTTGTGTTTCACGTACTGTCAGAGATTGATGAATACATCCTGTATTGTAAGTTTGCTGCTCTTCTAGGATCCTTCAGTGTTTAAATAGGAACTCCTACTGACACTATGAAGTCATTATGTGTTAGTTCTATTTGTGAAGTCTCACCTCCTTCAATACTATGTAAGCGTTGGTCATTCCCTCTCTGAGGTCAGCTGGCTGGCCAGATCGCCCATACTTCTTTCTTCTCCGCAGTCCCTTTGTTCGTACGCTGGGTCCAGGAGATACCATATCAAACGTCACCTCAGCTACATACTGTAAATTGCAATTAGAAGTGTCGAACAATAAGAATTAAGAGTAGACAAACAAGAGGCCCATGGGCCTTAACAGTCATCTGAGTCCTACAGTATTTATTTTTTGTTGTTGAAATATGTACCAATTTGAGTAAAAACTAGTTAATTATAATGTCAACTTAAGTTTGTCAGGACCATGAGCTGATCATTCCTAGACTGAGTTTCAGTAAGATCAGCCTAATAGAACTTGTTTTTAAGTTAGAAATAGTTATTTTAAAAATAGCAGCCATGGCAGCCAAATTGTATTTCTGATCGACCCGAAAAATAACAACACTTTGTCAGGACCATGAGTCGATCATTCCTACAAAGTTTCAGTTCAATCGGCCTAGCAGAACTTGAGTTTATGTTTGAAATAGTTTTTCAAAATGGAAGCTGAGGTGGCCATATTGGATTTTTGATCGACACGAAAAGTAACAACACTTTGTCAAGTCAATAAGTCGATCATTCCTTCCATGTTTCAGCTCAATCGGCCTAGCAGAATTTGACTTTAAGTTTGAAATAGTTTTTCAAAATGGCGGCTGTGTCGGCCATATTGAATTTCGGATCGACCCGAAAAATAACAACACTTTCTCAGGACCATGAGTCGAACATTCCTACAAAGTTTCAGTTTAATCGGCCCATTAGAACTTGACTAAGTTTGAAATAGTTTTTCAAAATGGCAGCTGTGGTGGCCATATTGAATTTCGGATCGACCCGAAAAATACCAACACTTTGTCAGGACCATAAGTAGATTATTCCTGCAAAGTTTCAGTTCAATCGGCCTAGCAGAACTTGTCTTTAAGTTTGAAATTGTTTTTTCAAAATGGCGGCTGTGGCGGCCATATTGGATTTCTGATCAACCCCAAAAATAACAAAACTTTGTCAGGACCATGAGTCGAGCATTCCTATTTAGTTTCAGTTCAATCGGCCTAGTAGAACTTGACGTTAAGTTTGAAATAGTTTTTCAAAATGGCAGCCGTGGTGGCCATATTGGATTTCTGACTGACCAAAAAATAACAAGATTTGGACAGGGAGCTTAAGTTGAAAATGTAAAATGTTAAAGCTCAGGTGATCTAAAAAGTCAGACTGGTCTTATTATTCAAATCAAACAATTTTCTTTTATTTAATTTATAACAAAGACAGATCTAGGCCTGGTAAGAGACCCTCCTTTGAGATGGTTTCTTTGTTAATAACCGCAATCTTGATTGACATGATGAAAACTCTTCCCCATTTCATATGTTTTTGTATTTATTAAGAACATATGTGCCACATCTTTTAAATCCTAAGAACCTACCTGTAAGGTAGACAGTAACACGTGTCTAAACTAAAACCCTATCTGTAAGGTAGACAGTAACGCCTGTCTAAACTAAACACACACAAGACCAAAATTCCAATAGAAATTGACAGGTTGCAAATAACAAAGGAAGTTTCAAAAGTGATCTCTTCTAATAATAAATAACAAGAGGCCCAGAGGGCCTGTAACGCTCACCTGGATATCTAAGCAATCATGGCAAAATATTCTCCAAATGAGATCCAAGCATATCTGTATTATATTTTTCATGCCCAGCAATTTAATGTATGGTTATGGGGTGGGGATCTCAACTGCTTCCAAGCTGTGACTAAGAAACTAGGTCCCTATGGTTGTGGCCGGACCCCAGGATCAATTCTAATATCATGACTGCATTCCTCTCTTTATGCCCAGCATTTGTATATATAGTTTTGGGGTGGGGATCTCAACCATTTCAAAGTTATGGCCCAGGGACTATGTCTCCAAGGGTGGGGCCAAACCCTAGGGCTATCCTGGAAGCAAATGTGCATTTTTCTCTTTACACTCAGCAATTGTATATATGGTTATACGGTAGGGATCTCAACCATTTTCAAGTAATTTTCAAGCCTTTTTTGGGCCCCACCCCTTAGCCGGGGAGTTAGCCCCACCATTTGTACAATTTTGAATCTTCACCACCTAGGGATGCTTTCAGTCAAATTTAGTTGAATTTCAATTTCCTGGGAAAGACCCACAATCTATAGTTGCCTTTTTAATATAATGGACAGAATCATTTCAAAATGCTCCATTTCCTGGGAAAGACCCACAATCTATAGTTGCCTTTTTTAATATAATGGAAATGATATAAACTTTGTAGGAAAATAACTTTTCACAGCCTGTATACAGTAGAAAAGTGGTGTGACTCTCTTCTTGATCAGTGACAGTCTCTTACTGGAGTATCAACATAAACCTCTTTGTAGTGGGGGTTGAGAAATTGGTGGTCTTTTAAGATAGAGGATTTCTTAATAGGAATGGTCTTTTGAGCACACTTTTGACAGTACTGCACTGTATCATATCATGCCATACACAAATATCACTGTTTCTAAGTTTGACCTTGAGTTTGATCTTGAGTTTGACCTTGACATAGCCTTACCTGTACAGACTGGACCACTCTGTTGGTTAGTTCGAGCACGGCCATGGCTGTGGAGGTAGTAAAGGAACTCGCCCCACGCTGGATACCCCGTACAATCCGCCCATCTTTCCTGTACTGCTCAACAGGCAGCCAGAACAGATCCTTCATACCCTGGGCTGTTACAGACACAAGGAGAAAAGGGTAATGGTGAAAAACTGGTCTTTTTTCAGAATAATTAAGCCATCAAGTTTCAAAGTACAGTATTATATAGAAGTCATAGTTCAGAGGTTATGTGGAAACACATCCAAATATACCTCGAACACTTGTGCAATTATAAGTTCTAACATGTTTATTTTGTCACCGATATCTATTGTGAAAATACATGAATCAAAATTTGTGAAATTGAAATTACCCAGAGTTAAAGAAAGAGAGGTCACATACCAAGCTGGACAAAGGAGTGCATAGGTCCCACACCACCAAGTATACTGGGAAGCTGGTTCTTCCTGATGTCGGTCAGCCATTCATTTGCTGTGTACTGGAGAAGACGGTCAAATCCTAACAATCTGAAATAATGATTTTATCTTATATAAGATATTGGGACGAAAAGAGACTAATAGAGATAAACCAGTAAGGCGAAATCAGTGAAATCAATCCAATAAAACCTTCAAGGGAATCGGAAAAATGTAGGCAGGCTAATCATTATGTTATCTTGTTGAGGATGTGAATCTGAAGTTATAAACAGCAGATTTCTAAGCTACGTTTGACTTTATATAACTGATAATAAATCAATAAATTTCTGAATTACTACCAATAATATTCAATTAAAATCACTGATGGTCTGATCAAGAGATACCTTTAATTACAGGAATATGTTTTCTCTCATGAACTTGGTACAACTTACCCATGCTGGTGATTGATACCTTTCAATTTCAGCTCTGAGCAATTGAGCTGGGCCAGCCCTGCTAATAACCCTGTAAGGGCTCCCTGAAATAACATGTATGTTTATAAACCATATCCAAACAAATTACTAGGTGAGGCTTTGTGTGCAATATAACGTCAGATACAAAATTGCTACAATCACGTTTTCATTTTTAGCAGGCAAGAAACTTGAAATGAAAGAGGCATGTCAGCAAAGTACATATCTAAGCGCACCACAGTTAGTGTGAAAACTCTAAAATAAGCTTACTGCTAGAATAGATATATTCACAATACCTATTTTTCTATTAAAACTCACGTGTTCTCGGTCAACTCTCTTCTTTCCGGTGTAATCTAATCTAATTGGCACATCAGGTGAAAATATGAAAGACCTGCAACATGAACAGTAACATTGAATATACTCCTTGTAAAATGTTAGCAAAAGGATATCTTTTTTATAACATGAATATCAACCTGTCCTATAATTAGATAAAGTATGCACTGTAGTAATCTAGATTTAAATGGTGTCATTCTACATTAAATCAATATTGTGAACAGGTAAAACTTACTTAAAGAATACTGGCTGATAAGGTGTCTTTTCTACAGCTTGTGTTGGTGTGTTATCATAGTCTGGAACAGGGTCATTGGCAGTTATCTCCCCTCCAAGCTGCTCTTCCTGTAACTCATCAAACCTCATGAGCAGTTCCTGTGGATCTGTTTCCTCCTCAATGATCTCAGGATGACCAACTACCATGACAGGTGGAGGTGGGGAGGGGGCGTTGGTCCCAGGGGTTGACCTTGTCCTTGGTTTGGTGTCCGACTCAGGTGGGGAAGGATTGGGGTTAGTGTGACCTCCTCCAGAAACCTCAGTGAAGAAAATTTTCAGGAAGGCAAGAGAGTCCTTAAAATAAAACCAAGCAATTACTCTTAGGACTTGATCTTGATATTCCTTAGGCTTAACAATATCTCAAAACAATGCCTCGTAATTCCTTAGGCTAAATTATACCTCATAACTCCGTTTTTGTCATTCCTTAGGCTATATATACATGTAAAAGGAACATTATTGCATACAATGCAGGTACTTGAATTAATACAATTAGCATACCCGATTTTTCATCTTATATTTAAGAAATGAAGCAGAAAACACAATTTCAGTCTGATCTCAGCTAGCAGCCAAGTTAGCTCATTGATAACCTTTGGTTACATAAACCTTTGATGCCATTTCGCAGACTATTAAAGCAAAGAAGATAATTCTGTGAAGGTATTATCATTATTAACTCATTCACCCCTGATGACACATTTGAACTCCTCCAATTCAAAGGTTGGAATAGTTCATTAAGAAATTTCAGGGGTGAATGAGTTAAATAATCATTTGTGAAGTATAATCTCACCTGGTCCACATTGAGCCGGAGGGGTTGGACAGAGACACGGAGGGCACACTCCTCCGCCCTCACGGTGGGGTCTGGACGTGTGTGAATGGCTTTCACTAAAAGCTGAAATACAATAAAAAACGACTGTGATTTGTATAGAATTTTTTTAATATAAGTATTTATAATGGAATAATAATAGAGCTGTCAGTATACTGTGGACACCTTCTACACTTTATCTTCACAAAGTATTCTTTTAATAAAACTACTGTAACTGTAGACTTACATGTTATAAATAGAGGTTCTTACTTACCATGTTGGCATTGGATTGTCTAGGCATACTCTCTGAGGAGTAACGGTACAGAAACTTGTTGATGTTTGAGCTCTCGAGGCGGTCTCGCAGTTCAAGGTCATTGATGAGGAGGATCTGTCTGGAGGCCTGCTCCGTGTTACTTGGGTACTTTTCATGCTGCATCTGGACCTACCACATTTAACATCACATATAAACATACCACAGCCTTTATTTGTGTATAGCTCGGGTATAAAACATATACAGGTAGTAAAGTAAATTATTCACCAAGACAAACTTGGTGTCATTGGTTAGACAAAATGATAACTTTGAACTATGAGTCATTAATTTTTAAATCCATTCCAAAATAAAAATGTCCAGGAATGTTCTTCCCACTGTTTTGTAACCTTCACTACAATGGTTTACTTAGTAACCTTGACCTAAATACTGACCTTGGTGAGCTGAAGTTCCATGAGCGTTGTGGTGTCTCTGCCTGGCCCGCCACGGGATTGCCAGGGTGATCTGTTAACAGTCTCTGTACTTGCTTTGGTGGTGTACCTCATACCTAGGATTGGTGACCCATCCCTGAAACAGGTCACTCTGACATTCTCAGTTACCTCAATACACAGTTATACTTACCACTTCAACCAAGTTTAGCAAAAATATAGGTTATACATTCTTACAAATTTACAAAAATACTAACATACACAATGTATATTAAACAGATTTCACTATCACTGAAAATCATCTATTACAAATTCATATATACACTTACCCATGCTCCTTTGATCTAGTAGAATACACCGCTTCTTTTCCTGTGGAACATAAAACAAATAATATAATGCACAGCATTGTGAACAGTCTTTGAACTCTCGAGCCCATCAGAGGCTTGCAAAAATAATGAAACTAGAATAAAAGGTCGGCAGAACCAACATATGCTCCAAGAATAAGCTCCTGGTTTGGAGGGCATATGCCCTATTGTAGTTCTAGAAAATATGTCACCTAGTTACTCCTAAATCAAGAGATTTTCTTTTTCAAAAGAGGCAAGCATCCATCTCTGATTGGTTTTAATAGATATAATGTATCCTTGAAGAGATAACAATATTAAGTTTCATTTAAAAAGTTACTGTCTGTAAAACATGAGTTTCGGACACGGGGAAACACAGTGACATGGTTGGACAAAGCGAAAACTACATGCTCCCGAAAACAAATATTTCGGGGAGGATTAAAACTTGACAATGTCATATGAAATGGGAAGTCATTTTCTATATATTTTTTATGCCATTTTTCTATTTATATATGACACAATGCATGTTACTTTATCCCAGTATATATGTTGACTGTATCAATGTGTTCCTTACCTTGTGTGTTGTCAACGTTACAGGGCTTGAAGTCACTTCCCCCGTAAATGTACCAGACTAGAGTCATCTCCTTCAGAGTGTACCGCTGCTCCGCCAGTGGGTAGTGGTCTGGGGACTTTAACAGGTCAGTCCGACCAAGCGGCTGGCTGAAGAAGTTTTCTTTAATCTCTATAGGGTCTGTAACCAGCACTCGAATAGAAGGTTCACCATCCCGTGGCTGTTTGATTAAACAGATGTTTTATTTCCTAGTTATCTCAACAATTTTATTTTCTCATTTTGTCTTTTTTCCCAAGAATGTTTAATGTTTTCATTTTTTTTTTTTTTACAAGGACTAAATGACAACATCTTTGACTGGATATATGGCTGAAATGATTTTTTTTCATTTTTTTTTTCAAAGGAATATAAACTTATAATCATTGAGAAAGATGTAAAAACAATTCCCGCTAATTTAAAATAAAACAAGAATTACGCGTAATTAGATGTCTCGCCTGTCCCCGCTTTGAGCATAAGATTCAATGTGTAAGTTTGAGCCGAAGTTCGGAATTTTACATTTAATAAACAAGTTTGGCAATAAATCAACATGGAGGCATAAAAGGAACAAGTGCTGGGAGCCGGCCATTACATGTGTCCCCCGAACTATCCCCGTATTCTGAAAACCAAATGTATATAGGAGAACGTATCTCGTAGTGCCATAATACACATACATACCAAATTTGAGCAAAATCAAAATATTTGTGAATTTCGACCAATCATGCAGAAGCCAGTATATGCAGACTGTCTTGTCAGATCAAACACGAATGCCGCGGTTGCGTTCACAGTGCAAAAATACACTTACATACTGATTTTTAGCGAAATCAAACAATAACTGAATTTCGACCAATCTGAAGCAAATAAACAGTGGCCATTTTGTCAAATAATAAAATGAATGTCATGGTTGAGTTTGCAGTGCCAAGATACAAGTACATACCAAATTTGACTGATATTGAACAAGAACTGAATTAAGACCAATCAAATGCCAGTATAAGACGGGCATTTTGTCAAACCAGGAAACAGAAGTCGCAGTTGGTTCGTAGTGCCAAGATACATCTATATACCAAATTTGAACGAAATCGAACGGTAACTGAATTTCGACCAATCAGAACCCAATATACAGCAGCCATTTTGTCAAATCAGAAAACGGATGTTGCGACTGAGTTTGCAGTGCCAATATACATGTACTTACCAAATTTGATTGAAATGGGAAAATAATTGAATTTCAACCAATCAGAAGACAGTATAAGGTGGCCATTATGTCAAATCCGAAACAGGTGTTGCGGCTGAGTTCGCAGTGACAAAATAAACTCACATAAAAAGTTTGAGCAAATTCAAACATTTGAATTTCGACCAATCAGAAGCCAGTATACTGAGGCCATGTTTGTTGTCTTATTCCATTAAAACATTGACGTTGTAACCCTAAAGATGGTACTGATCATCCCAACTTACAGTCTAAGTTTAATTAGTGTAACACTTTAAATATTTGAGATACAGCATATAATACACAGCTAAAGGCAAAAGCTTTACATTTAGGAAGATGATGTGAAAAACGATGCTGCCGCCATAGCCACCGGAAAAGTAACACCTCAGTCCCGCCTCCGCGACATCCGTCACAGGCGAGACAAAAAATATGTCAAAATTTATTACAGCAAACTAACCATGATACCAAGTCCAGGGTCATCGATGACACAGAATTCTTCATCATCACTCATCACCTCCATCCGCTCCGATAATGCACTACTTGCAAACGAATCAGCACTGTCAGAAATCACAATTGGCCGAATCCCTCCAGCAGGTGGCACTGGTTGTGATGTCCCTCCGCCATTGGTAACAAAGTAAACCTCTGTGGTAGAAGACGGCGAAGCATTCTCTGGGAGATCTGTCGAATAGAATCAGGTGAGTTGTCAGAGCTAGACTAAAAGGCACATTGATCCTGTATCATCCATCTCTATTATTACTTCAAAAATACGTATAAACTAATTAAGTTTCTAATGTACAAATGTACTACATTTTACATCTACTTACTATTGTATATATGTAGTGTCAATCAAAATACCTGCTGTTAGTATTTCAAAGGTGATAAATACAGGGAAAATGGTTATCAGAGACCAATTATGCTTTAACATCAAATCTGAAATCTAATGGAAGTTCTCGTTACCCTGTTTCAAACAAGAGGCCCAATGGGCCTGCATCGCTCACCTGGTATTAATCTCACACTTGTAATCTTAATAGTGGACTAAATAACAGATACAGGCAGAATATCAGTGTTTGATTCATAAGAACCTATTAATTTTTTTAAACATATGATGCCTGTGACCTCGAATGTTGAACAAGGACATTAGGTTGAAAGTGGGAAAAGGTCATTCATTTGAACAAACTTGGTAGCCCTTAATCCCAGCATGCTACAGGCCCAATATCAGTACCCTCTGCCTTTTGGTTATTGAGAAGAAGTCGTTTGAAGATTTTAAGACATTTGACCCCTGTGACCTTGAAGGTGGGTCAAGGTCATTCAATCGAACAAACTTGGTAGCCCTTCATCCCAGCATGCTACAGGCCCAATATCAGTAAAAAGTTGACGCCGGACGGACATACTTGTTATTACTGTATATATCCTACACATCGCAGTTGTGGTGTACATACTTGTTATTACTATATATATCCTACACATCGTAGTTGTGGTGTACATACTTGTTATTATTATATATATCCTACACATCGTAGTTGTGGTGTACATACTTGTTATTATTATATATATCCTACACATCGTAGTTGTGGGGAACATACTTGTGATTTCTATTTAGATCCTACACCATAGTTGTGGGGTACATACTTGCTGCCTGTTGGGATTCTAACATCGCGTCCTCTACCAGAGTCTCTAGATGTCCTTGGCGTGACACAGTCAGCCCTACAGCATCTCCATCTTCAGTGGCTGAATCCTGAAGCTGGAGAAACAATAACATAGTTATGAAATTTAAAATAATCTCTATAAGAAATTTTAATACTGAGTTGCTGTTCATGGCACAATTCCATTTAAGAGGACAAAAACAAATTGTGTTACAAGCAAGAATTATAATGAGTTTGTTTGCACTAGACATGGTTTACTGTATCAGCATTTTACACAAGTTTTAATCTTTACAAGAACAAAGTTCCAGATTTCAGGGAAAATTAATTGAAACAATTATACATGTATAAAGATTAAATTCAAACTGACTATATAAAAAAAAGAAAACCCCTTTCACTTACAGTCCTTCTTACACTGTTTAATATGCATTTTCAATAATTTAAACCGATATAAGTTTATGGATGAAACCCAGACATTACATTGTAGAAATAACTTTCAAATATGACAACATAACACAAATATCCCAGACTTAATGATCACAGAACCCCTGAGATAGATATTGTCACCTCGTCGCCCACTACCAGGTCCTGAGTGCTGTCCCTTAGACTAGGTGTCTCTTCATGGAAGTACAGATCTCCGTCATTGGCAAAATACTGAATCAGTTCCATCAGGGCCTTGCACGAGTCAGAACAGGTCCGCAGGTTCAGTCGGTTTGTCAGAACCTTCAAGTCTGTCTTAGGAAATTTCTGTAAGATTAAAAACACAAACTTTGTGTCATACAAAATAACACTGATTTGTCTTATTTCAAAGCTAATTCAGATACTGAAAGCATTGATCAACCTATGTGGGACCTCGAAAAAACAGGCATACAAAATTTTTTTTTTAGAATTACCTTGTCAGGTACACATATAATTGCTGCACCATGGCATAAGTTCAATCTGGCCATTTGAGGCAGGTGAGGAAATAACATAAATGTTTTGCATGATAAATATCACTTATTGTGTTCAGTCAAAGCTGCCCAATATGCCAACTCTATTGATGATGACGGTTCTTTGCTAGGAGTGAAAAAGAAACTGGTCCTTTGTCATTGAGGATTAACTGTTGTATCAGATTCAGTTCATTTATTCCTTGTGTTTTAAAACACATCGGAGAGAAGACATCACATATACAGTACAAAACAATACAATGCTGTGATAATACAGCATTACACAATGTTATACATGAACATAATGAAAAGAGGTCTAACGTATCAGAGAGGTCAAATAATTGCTTTTCTTTGATTCCAAAGGGACAACACTGGACAATAAGAGTACACAAGCTGTGTATTACCCGACTTACCAGATCCTTGCCATCACTGAACCGCAGTGATAATTCAAACCTCTCCAAGTCCGCCACACACACATAATCTGGAAAAACAACAACAGCTAGCAATGGACAGACACCAATATTTAACATTAGTTCAGTTTTAAATGTTTTTTTTTAAGAATGACTGGTACATTTCAAAAATCAAGTAGAGATAACCACTTCATTTGACCATGTGTGATCACCTTTCTCTCTGTAACATTACATATCTCTTATCAAATATCTGTATCACCATTAAAGAAATCCTACCTTCATATATACACTGTCACTGTAAAGACATCATATCTATACTTCATACCCCATTTACCTGTCATGTATCCTGAATGTGTTTTATAGTCAACACTAGCATCTAGATCATGACATTTGAATGTATTACAAGTAAATTAGCTTTAAAAGAATATCATGGAAACTTTGAAAATGCATGGAAACTTTGAAAATGCATGGCATACCTTTCCTCAAGTTTGGCATTGTGTTCACAGGTTTTTGAGACAAGAATAGGGATGCATCATCTAAAACAAATCTGAAAAGAGAAAGAATACATCATTTGATACATGAAACAGCCTCAAATGGAATACAATGTATGTGCTTATTTTGTTACTATGCATGCACCTCCATTTTTCTTTTTTTTTTCTTCAACGAACAAAAAGAAAAACATTGAGTTTGAAAAGAGGTTATGTTAAAGAAACAAACATATCTGTATTGAACAAACTGTTTCTATAGCAACACATACCTGAGTAGTGAGGTAGGAGACTTGGCTAACATCTACCTGAGTAGCTAGGTAGGAGACTTGGCTAACACGTACCTGAGTAGCTAGGTAGGAGACTTGGCTAACATCTACCTGAGAAGCTAGGTAGGAAACCTGGCTAACATCTACCTGAGTAGCTAGGTAGGAGACTTGGCTAACACGTACCTGAGAAGTGAGGTAGGAGACTCGGCTATGTAGGAGACTTGGCTAACATCTACCTGAGTAGCTAGGTAGGATACTTGACTAACATCTACCTGAGGAGGGAGGTAGGAGACTTGGCTAACATCTACATGAGTAGCTAGGTAGGAGACTTGGCTAACATCTACCTGAGTAGCTATGTAGGAGACTTGGCTAACATCTACCTGAGTAGCGAGGTAGGAGACTTGGCTAACATCTACCTGAGTAGTGAGGTAGGAGGCTTGGCTAACATCTACCTGAGTAGCTAGGTAGGAGATGTGGCTAACATCTACCTGAGTAGCTAGGTAGGAGACTTGACTAACATCTACATGAGTAGTGAGGTAGGAGACTTGGCTAACATCTACCTGAGTAGTGAGGTAGGAAACTTGGCTAACATCTACCTGAGTAGCTAGGTAGGGGACTTGGCTAACATCTACCTGAGTAGTGAGGTAGGAGACTTGGCTAACACGTACCTGAGAAGTTAGGTAGGAGACTTTGCTAACATCTACCTGAGAAGCTAGGTAGGAGACTTGGCTAACATCTACCTGAGTAGTGAGGTAGGAAACTTGGCTAACATCTACCTGAGTAGCTAGGTTGGGGACTTGGCTAACATCTACCTGAGTAGTGAGGGAGGAGACTTGGCTACCATATACCTGAGTAGCGAGGTAGGGGACTTGGCTAACATCTACCTGAGTAGTGAGGGAGGAGACTTGGCTACCATATACCTGAGTAGCGAGGTAGGGGACTTGGCTAACATCTACCTGAGTAGTGAGGTAGGATACTTGACTAACATCTACCTGAGTAGTGAGGTAGGAGACTTGACAAACATCTACCTGAGAAGTGAGGTAGGAGACTTGGCTAACAAGTCCCTCAGAAGTGAGGTAGGAGACTTGGCTACCCCGTACCTGAGAAGTTAGGTAGGAGACTTTGCTAACATCTCCCTGAGAAGCTAGGTAGGAGACTTGGCTAACATCTATGTGAGTAGTGAGGTAGGAGACTTGACTAACATCTACCTGAGAAGTGAGGTAGGAGACTTTGCTAACACGTACCTGAGAAGTGAGGTAGGAGACTTGGCTAACATCTACGTGAGTAGCTAGGTAGGAGACTTGGCTAACATCGACCTGAGTAGTGAGGTAGGAGACTTGGCTAACATCTTCCTGAGTAGCTAGGTAGGAGATGTGGCTAACATCTACCTGAGTAGCTTGGTAGGAGACTTGGCTAACATCTTCCTGAGTAGCTAGGTAGGAGATGTGGCTAACATCTACCTGAGTAGCTAGGTAGGGGATTTGGCTAACATCTACCTGAGTAGTGAGGTAGGAGACTTGGCTAACATCTTCCTGAGTAGTGAGGTAGGAGACTTGGCTAACACGTACCTGAGTAGTGAGGTAGGAGACTTGGCTAACACGTACCTGAGAAGTTAGGTAGGGGACTTTGCTAACATCTACCTGAGAAGCTAGGTAGGAGACTTGGCTAACATCTTCCTGAGTAGTGAGGTAGGAGACTTGGCTAACATCTTCCTGAGTAGTGAGGTAGGAGACTTGGCTAACATCTACGTGAGTAGCTAGGTAGGAGACTTGGCTAACACGTACCTGAGTAGTGAGGTAGGAGACTTGGCTAACATCTTCCTGAGTAGTGAGGTAGGAGACTTGGCTAACACATACCTGAGAAGTAAGGTAGGAGTCTTGGCTAACATCTACCTGAGTAGCTAGGTAGGAAATGCGGCTAACATCTACCTGAGTAGCTTGGTAGGAGACTTGGCTAACATCTTCCTGAGTAGCTAGGTAGGAGATGTGGCTAACATCTACCTGAGTAGCTTGGTATCAGACTTGGCTAACATCTTCCTGAGTAGCTAGGTAGGAGACTTGGCTAACATCGACCTGAGTAGTGAGGTAGGAGACTTGGCTAACATCTTCCTGAGTAGCTAGGTAGGAGACTTGGCTAACATCTTCCTGAGTAGTGAGGTAGGAGACTTGGCTAACACGTACCTGAGAAGTGAGGTAGGAGACTCGGCTATAATATTGCTGGAAATACTAAAGCTCTCTGCCATTAACACTGCATTTGTCTTGATGTGAAGTGGTCTGAAGTATTCAACAGTATTATCATTATACATTCAGTACAGAATAAAAGCAAATCTACTAATAGACATTGATGGCTTGAATTGCAGAACTTTACAGTTTGTGATCTACCAGATAAAGCTATACAAATGTTAGAGTTTCATCATTCTATTATCTTGTATACATTAACAGACGTGATTAACATAGTTTTAAAGATATAAAATATTTCAGGTCTGTCCATTTTTCATGAGTCTTCAGTGTATAGAGTTTGGCAAGTATGTACATGTTTTACTCATGAAGTTTCTGCCTACCTGTAATCAACAGCGCAGTCCCATAAATGTACATGTAGCTCTGTCAAAACTTTAGCCATGGTGTAGCCAAGTATATCATAATCTTTCACATCAAGAAATGCCAGTACCTACAATACAGAACACCAACGTTTACTTAACAAAAAACATTCGGTTAAATTTGCATTAAGTCAGAGACAAATTAACATACACGAGTTTTATACAGACAAGTTACCTGTGAAATCCAGCTCTGATCAGCTGCTGCCATCTTGTGTCGCAGAGTTCCCCCTCGGATTCCCACTGCCACCAGGAACTCCTTTAACCATGACAATTTTAAGGTCATTCAGCAAGGTTATATTCACTAAAGCATCTTGTTTCTAAAATTCAACTTTTTTTTGGTATCAGAAAGTATTAAAATATTTGAGAGATTTTTTTAGCTTGACACCAGGTATTTAATACTTCAGAGTTTTTATCTTGACACCAGGTATTTAATAATTCAGAGTTAATACTTCAAGACTGACCTTAATTTTTTCATCCTTTGTTAGATCGTTAATGGGTGTAGAATCCAGTTTGATTTTAACAGCAACTGATACCATATCATTGGTATCCATGTCATAAGACATTTCCATGGACTTGGCCATGACCCCAGGGTCAGTCTTGTGTACCAGTCTGTGGTCCCTGAGGTGGTCAGCAACCCTACATATATCTTCCCGTGTCAGATTGACTGTCTTATCCTTTAAAGCATCATCTACGTTAGCTGAAACATATCCAGGATCACAAGTTAAATACATTTTACAAGCTTCTTGAAAAGCTCCAAGTAAACGGCTGGTAGTTTATATAATCACAGAGATTGACGGTAGTGAGTGTAACATGAAAGTGTCTATGTATCTCCCTTATTTTCTAATATATTTTCATCTATTTTTATACATAAATAAATAACTCATTGTACCATGTCATTTTTGAAACACTTGATTCTGTTTCGAATTATAAAAAAAGTTTAAAGTAATTGTGAAAATTGTGCTGTATATGATGTTTATGTTTAGAAATATTTAAACCCACAAAGTTAATTGTGTAAAAATTGATAACTTTCCTTTTTAATTCTCTCTTTTCTCTGCCAGACATAAAACGTTTCTATAAAAGAAACATTCTCAACAAATTACATTAAATAATTTCTGTATGAAATCAATAAACATGATCAGCATGAAAATAAGCATTACATAACCTTACATACCACAGTGGTAGAGTTCTGCCTTGTGGCTGAAGAAGCAGACATACTGAAGGCTGGGGTCACCATTGTGATTAGCTACAGTGAAGATATTGGCATCCTCCAGGAGGACTACCACTTCTCCGTGGGTCTTCTCTACCTGAAAAACGAAATACATGGGTATATAAAACCTAGAAACAGGAAGGACTACCACTTCTCTGTGGGTCTTCTCTACCTGTAATACAAAATACATGGGTATATAAAACCTAGAAACAAGGAGGACAACCACCTCTCTGTGGGTCTTCTCTACCTGTAATACAAAATAAACCTAGAAACCAGGAGGACTACCACCTCTCCCTGGGTCTTCTCTACCTGTAATACAAAATACACGGGTATATAAAACCTAGAAACCAGGAGGACTACCACCTCTCCCTGGGTCCTCTCTACCTAAAAATGCAAAATATCTCGATACGGGATTTACCTAACCATTCTTTTTCCAATAGATGATAGTATCAACCTCGAGATACGTTCTGTTTAAAAGGTAATTAAAACCTACACTACATAAAGTTTGTTATCTTGTTAACACTGCCTAGAAAAATCAAAATATGTGTTCAATCCAAGTAGATTTAGAAAATCAGCTGTTTTAGCAAGCGAATTTGTGTATCACCAATATCAAACTTTCATATGGTACATTATCTGATCTCCTATGTTTTTTTTTTAGACAGGCCAATTAGGAGACTGACAATATTCATTAGGCTATGAAATATGGTGCCCAACCTGGAAGATATGGCTTTATATAAGATTTAAAATCTTGTTGCCAGATCCTATTTATATTCCTATTAACCTGTGTACTTATTATATATGACATATGAAATAAATATTGTTTAAACCAACCTGGAATAAACCTATGTCTACTCAGTAATCGGTAAAACATCTCCAAATTAAAATGCACTTTTCTCTATATTCTTGATAACCTGACATTAAACAAATTGAATATCAAAATTAGCAGAAATGAAAAAAAAAAACCTTACCTGAGAGTTAGTGATAGCAGTGAGCTTGCCTTTGTCTATCTTTAGTGACAGACACAATTTACTAGGTTGTTCCTTCTTGGTGGGTTTCCGTCGGGGATAACGGGAGTCATGTATACTGTAGTAGCCAAAGCTTGTGTCGTCCTCCTCGTCTGAAGATTCTGTCAACAAGCGGAGACAGGTACATGTTTATCTGGTTTTTAAAAAAGAAGCATTTGGCAAAGATTCTCTTAGCCCAATCTGAATCACTCTGATGTATCTACAATTTTTGTTTTAATTTTTTTCAGAACTTTTTCATTACTTTGATAAAAGAAAGGCACACCTACAAATTGATCAGACAGAACTTGTAAACAATATTATTTGGGAGGATGATCATCGATTTGTTTAAACTCTTGATTTAATATCATTTTTCTTTTTGTTATTTTTAGAATACTTAATCACATGAACAAAGCTACTACAAGGTTAATACTATTTTACAGGCATCTAGGTTTCTAAATATCTTTTCTTTCTTTCAAAATTACTTACTTTAATATTCGAAATATATGTTTAATTTTACACAAAGTATCACAATGTAAGTAGTAGAAATACTTTAAAAAAGGGTATACCTACCGTACTTGATAGCTGACTTAGCCATGTGGAAGGAATCCTGGAGGGCATTTGGGTAGCAGCTGAGGTCAAAGGGCGCAGCCAGTAATGGGTCCTGTGTCTGGAGAGGTGAGGGGGCCATCGGTTCCCATAGTAACAGGTCGCTATTTACCCTTCAATATCAACAGTTGGATAGTAAATACTATGTACTCATCTAACTCAATTATGTTTTAAAATAATGATCTGTATCGCAAATTAAAAGATCTTTAATTCTATATCATGGTATTATAATAGCAATTGGAAAATCCATCCATGTAATAATACACAGCTAACAGTATTGTGAAGGAATAATTTGCTTGCCTTTATCCATTTTCTGAAAAATCAAAAGTATGATGTTGAATCTTTAAGTGTCCACTGTATGAATTAGATAGTCTGAAATAGTAGCGGTAGGCCTACCTATTGTACAGAACTTCATAGAAGTGTTTATCAGGAATGTAGAGGTCAACAAAGGGCAGAGAGAACTCCAAGGTCATGTGTGTGTTGCCTAGTGACTTCTCTTGGAACTCCTGGATCTCCCTCCGATCTCCAGGCATAATCATCTATGGGGAAAATAAAATGGTAACATACTAATTCTCCTGTGGGAAAAATAAATGGTTACATACTCATTTTCATGTATCAACCAACTTAATACATAACCACAGAGAGAAATTAAAAGGGTGTTCATTGATCCAAGAACAAACAGTTATCATCTATAAAACACAGTATAAATAAGATGTAAGGTTACCTGGTGACTGTCCAAGTCAGTACCTCAACCGTACTTAAGGAACAAGTACAAAGTTACATGAAGTATATCAGTCAGAACCTTAACAGACCTTATGATGCAAGTAAACAGTTTTCTAGGTACTATGCTAGTCAGTATCTTAACATAAAGTATGACACAGTAGTGAAGATACCTGGATAATGTCCAAGTCAATACCTCACCAGAACATAGGGCAGAAGTTTATCTATAAACAAGAACTTGTTTTATATGTACTTATCCACAGTGACCTTTGACTTAGTGACTAAGATCTGAATGACAATGACTCCAACTTTACCTCCTCACTGACATGAGTAGACTGGTCCTTTTCACTGTATTCCTCTTTTCCATACATGTTCTTTTTGTTTGAGAAAGGCGAGGGGTCCCTCTTTGTGAACAGACACGCCCCATGGAGAGAATCCTGAGGTGTGTTGTCTTCTGATTCCACAGGCTCCTCCTCCAGTACTGATGTGGTCTTGTTAGAGAACTTGATGGACAGTCTATATAGTAATACATATCAATTAGTACCAGGTAACCTCTGTTCTGTAAACTGTTTAAGTTCTGTTCTGTAAACTGTATATGGAGCATGTAATAAAAACAATCTTCTTAAATTAATATCAGTAAAATATCAAGTTTAATTAAGATATTAGCAACCATGAATGTCTGTATTGCTCACTTAGATTTTTACATCACCTTACCCTAGTGATATGTCAAACCAAATAGGATACAAACTATGCAGTCATGTAGAAAGCGTAAGATTTCTAAGCCCCCCTCCCCCTTCTTGAACTGCGAAGATAAAAAAAACTTTGTAATATGATTGCCTTGTCAAATAAGTAATTTTGTACTTTCTTAGACCCTTAGCTGAATTAGTCCTTTTCTACCTAATCTCTAAATTGGTGAATATGAAGAAGTCAAAACTTATCTGGAATTTGAATAGAATTAATATGTTTTACTGTAAGAATTTGTATAGGATTAATGTTTTACTGTAAGAATTTGAATAGAATTAATGTTTCACTGTAAGAATTTGAATCGAATTAATATCTGTTACTGTAAGAATTTGAATAGAATTGATATGTGTTACTGTTAAGAATTTGAATATAATTAATATGTGTTACTGTTAAGAATTTGAATATAATTAATATGTGTTACTGTTAAGAATTTGAATATAATTAATATGTGTTACTGTTAAGAATTTGAATAGAATCAATATGTGTTACTGTAAGAATTTGAGTAGAATTAATATGTGTTACTGTTAAGAATTTGAATAGAACTAATATGTGTTACTGTAAGAATTTGAAGAGAATTAATATGTGTTACTGTTAAGAATTTGAATATAATTAATATGTGTTACTGTTAAGAATTTGAATATAATTAATATGTGTTACTGTTAAGAATTTGAATAGAACTAATATGTGTTACTGTTAAGAATTTGAATAGAATCAATATGTGTTACTGTAAGAATTTGAATAGCATTAATATGTTTTACTGTAAGAATTAATATGTTTCACTGTAAGAATTTGTATAGAATTAATGTTTTACTGTAAGAATTTGAATAGAATTAATGTTTCACTGTAAGAATTTGAATCGAATTAATATCTGTTACTGTAAGAATTTGAATAGAATAAATATGTTTTACTGTAAGAATTTGAATAGAATTGATATGTGTTACTGTTAAGAATTTGAATAGAACTAATATGTGTTACTGTTAAGAATTTGAATATAATTAATATGTGTTACTGTTAAGAATTTGAATAGAATTGATATGTGTTACTGTTAAGAATTTGAATAGAATTGATATGTGTTACTGTTAAGAATTTGAATAGAACTAATATGTGTTACTGTAAGAATTTGAGTAGAATTAATATGTGTTACTGTTAAGAATTTGAATATAATTAATATGTGTTACTGTTAAGAATTTGAATAGAACTAATATGTGTTACTGTTAAGAATTTGAATAGAATCAATATGTGTTACTGTAAGAATTTGAGTAGAATTAATATGTGTTACTGTTAAGAATTTGAATATAATTAATATGTGTTACTGTTAAGAATTTGAATAGAATCAATATGTGTTACTGTAAGAATTTGAGTAGAATTAATATGTGTTACTGTTAAGAATTTGAATAGAATTAAGATGTGTTACTGTAAGAATTTGAATAGACTTAATATGTTTTACTGTAAGAATTAATATGTTTCACTGTAAGAATTTGTATAGAATTAATATGTTTTACTGTAAGAATTTGTATAGAATTAATGTTTTACTGTGAGAATTTGAATAGAATTAATATGTTTCACTGTAAGAATTTGAATAGACTGAATATGTGTTACTGTAAGAATTTGAGTAGAATTAATATGTGTTACTGTTAAGAATTTGAATATAATTAATATGTGTTACTGTTAAGAATTTGAATAGAACTAATATGTGTTACTGTAAGAATTTGTATAGAATTAATATGTTTTGCTGTAAGAATTTGTATAGAATTAATATGTTTTACTGTAAGAATTAATATGTTTCACTGTAAGAATTTGAATAGAATTAATGTTTCACTGTAAGAATTTGAATAGACTGAATATGTGTTACTGTAAGAATTTGAGTAGAATTAATATGTGTTACTGTTAAGAATTTGAATAGAACTAATATGTGTTACTGTAAGAATTTGTATAGAATTAATGTTTTACTGTGAGAATTTGAATAGAATTAATATGTTTCACTGTAAGAATTTGTATAGAATTAATATGTTTTGCTGTAAGAATTTGTATAGAATTAATATGTTTCACTGTAAGAATTTGTATAGAATTAATGTTTTACTGTAAGAATTGAATAGAATTAATATGTGTTACTGTAAAGAATTTGAATAGAATTAATATGTGTTACTGTAAGAATTTGAATAGAATTAATATGTTTTACTCTAACAACTGCTGGCGCCCTACCTTGGGAAGTTGTTGCACCCATCTTCATTCTCATCACCACCCACAAAAGCAAATGGTTCTGGCTCCTCTTTGATTGGGTCGATCTTGAAAAAGGCTGGAATTTAACAGACACAACATTTGTCTCCCTTCCATTGTATTCTCTTTTGCCAACCACGTAGCTGGTAAGGGGTAACTAAGTATGATTACTACTACTTTCAAATCTTGAAATTAATAGCTGTGGGGTCCGTCATCACATAAATTACCTAAGCTGTAACCAAAATGTAGAATGCCAAACAAACCTATAAATTACTGCAGTATTATCATTTCACTTATGGTTTGATAAAATATAATCATAATATATATGATGACTTTCATTATCATTTCAATGCAATACCATTTACAAAATTGAAATTGATCTAAATCTGAAGAGAACATATGAATTATATTTCTGCAGTAGCTAGTGCCATTGTTGTTTTCTAACATCTTTATTGTGACCTTACCAAGGAGTCATTTGGTGACAAACAAAAGAAAAATATATTTTTTCTGAAACCTTTTACAGCATAGAAAATATAATGCCGAGATCAATTTGTAAAAAAAAATAAAGTATTAAATGTGTTTCCATTCTAGATAATATGAATGAATCTCAATTCATATAGTTTGATACATAATGGGAGTTTGTTAGAGATCGTGTAAGTATCCTAATTCTGGGAGTGAGGCTACTGGACTGACCATGGATGTCCCTACAGGTGATCTCCAGTTCTGAGATGGTCTGTGAGGACAGGTAGCTGGTTTGGAACAGCACATCCGACATTTGTAGGATCAGGATCTCATCCCGTAGGTTTTTCTGCCACCATGGCAACTTGTCAACTTGAGATAGGGGTCGAAGGTCAGGGATGGGAAATCTGTACAGTAGGATATCACATACTTATATTGGATTAATATCTGAGAATATTTATCAAATTTAATAATTTCTGTTAAAATTTCTGTTAAAATTTTAATTTTCTTACATTATTTCTGTTGTGATTTTTTTTTTGTAATCTGTAACACAAATTTGAGGAAATTCTATCCCAACATTTCGCATCTTTTTATTACCTGAGTGAAAGTTTGGCAGCAGGACAAGAAATCTGTAGGTCATACTTGTGTTCTTGAGTACCAGGACCATCATCTAGTGCCTGGCTCAGGGCATAGGAAGTCATCTACACAATCAACATAGTATGATACAGATAAACATGTACATAAAACAAGTGCATAATCATTCAGACCCCCCACCCCCAAGGAGATGTTGAAAGATAATCCGAATTTCAAGGATGGAGGTCGGGGGACAGAATGCTGGAAGTTTTTACAAAAAGACATTATCAAATTAAACCACCAAGGCAAATGACTGACCATGGTTAACCATTGCTAATGTTCAAAAGCATAGCAGAGCACAGCAACAGCAGGGTTTGATCATATGATCATGGTCACAGCATAAGTAGTCCATGGTTTAGGGGATGGGTTGGCCAATTAACGTAAACTGTCAAACCATGGTCAGCCCTGGTTATATATTCTAAAAAGATGGTAGTAAAGCCATGGTTAGTGATGGTTTACCATGGTCAACAATGCTTCAAAACCATTCAATTTGCCTGGGCAGTTAAGATTACTTAAGTAACTTTAATTTAATTGCAAAAACTTTCCTAGATTGAGGTGCATATGAAGTTTGTAAAGTTACACAGAATGGTTCTGGGGAGGTGCACCAGAAATGATTTTGCTTTTTAGCTATTTGTTTCAGTGGTAACAGGAAAATGTCCAAATAGAAACTTGTGGACAGCTTAATTAAGGCACAACTACTTAAGACTAATAAATGTATATGCAAAACCCTAGTATTGAGTTTCATGAAGCTAGCATGAAATATTTTTTGAAATCTGCTCCAGAAACAATAGTTTGCATTTTTTGCCTTTTGTCTCCATGGTCAAAGTAGAAACATCAACAATTACATGTACAAGCAAATTTGTGGAATTAATATCCCCTGCTTGCAGACATATTGTAGGTTAACATAATTGAGGTTAGGTTTAAACATGTGAATATCGTGCTGTTGAGACATAATGTACAGCTTGAAACTTGAAGGAAAAAAAAAAGCCCTATACCTCATTGATTATCTGTAAATATGCACAAATCACATTGGTTGGCAAACTTAGCATGAGTTGGATGTGCATAAGGAATTTGGTTGAAACATCTTAAGGTAATAGGATTGTGTCACCATTTCTCAGTAGAATTTCTTCCAATTTGGTAGTTATATTGCGTTGAAGTAAAGAAAATTTTCTGCCACAAAAAAAATATAGGTTGTTAGAATTTAAAGGATTTGAAATGAAAATTTATGTAAAAAGGAGTGAGTTTTGAAAAAAATAAATGAAAGACACAAGTTTAGGCAAATTAATGTCAATAAAAATGATACTGACATAGATTAGTATTGAATTAATGTATATCAATTTAATAAATGCTGAAATTGTGTAAAATTAATTATCTATAAATGTTTAAAAATTGACATTTTATAATAAAACCATGTACATATAGTAATTGCATGTAAAGAGTTATCTTTCTTGAAAAACTTCACAGTAGTGAAATAGGTAGCCGGGTTCCTGAAGTACAGAAAAATGGACACATGTGACTCATTGATAAAAATAAATAAAAAAATAAATGCCTGGATTGCTTTGAAATACTTTAATATTGAGAGAACACACTGTTCTGTCAATAATAAACATGCAATAGTTTTTCAGTTTAATATCAAATATCAGAATATGCGGAAATTGTGATACTGTCTCCCTACATTGGATTTTCAACTAGGGATGCACTTCCTATTTCAGTTTATCAATACACTCCTATGACCTTAACAATATCTACAGCAACAAGTACTAATTGTAATGGCAGACCATTACAGATGTCACCCAAATTGCCCCCATAGTCGCAAAGATGCATCAGAAAAGGATTGCATCGCCATAGTACACCTACAATGTACAAACTTAATTTGAGTAAAATTGAGTAATTTCTAAATTGCAACCAATCAGAATCCTCTGTGTAGTTGCTATGGCAATGAAACGTATACGATTGAATTTGTAGTCCCGTAATACCCCTATATACCACCGAACAATATCCGAATTACGACCAATCAGAAGCCTCTGCGTGGTTGCTATGGTAACGAAACTTATGCGATATTATTCGCAGTCCCCTAATACCCCTATATACCAATTTTCATAAAAATCAAAAAATATTTAAATTTCGACCAATCAGAAGCCTCCATGTGGTTGCTATGGCAAAAAAATATATGTGGTTGGTTTCGCAGTCTCCTTATATACCAATTTTCATCAAAATTGCAACCAATCAGAATCCTCTGTATAGCTGCTTTGGCAACGAAACATATGTGGTTGAATTCGCAGTCCCCTTATAGCCTTACATACCAATTTTCATCAAAATCGATCAATATCTGAATTTCCACTAATCAGAAGCCTTCATGTGGTTGCTATATGGTTACTATGGCAACATAACCTATGCGTTTGAATTCGCAGTCCCCTAATATCCCTATATACCAATATCTAAATTTGACCAATCAGAAGCCTCCATGTGGTTGCTTTGGTAACGAAACTTATGCGGTTGAATTCGCAGTCCCCTTATATCCATATATACCAATTTTCACCAAAATCGAAGTTTGAAGAAAATCGGTTAACATTTGTTTTTTTTCGTTATTCAAGGGGCAATAACTCTGCCAAATGGGGTCTGCTGAAAGTAGTCATCTAGCTTGGCCAAGCCCTTAAGGCATTTATCCCTGTGACCAAGTTTAAAGTAAATCGGTTAACATTTGTTGTACTTATTGCACAGAAACAAAACCAAGCAGATAATTACGGTTTTCGTTATTCAAGGGGACATAACTCCGCCAAATGGTGTAGAATTTATCCCTGTGACCAATTTTGAAGAAATTCAGTTAACATTTGTTGTAGTTATTGCACGGAAACGAAACGCGCGGCGGATAATGACGATTTTCATTATTCAAGTTGCCATAACTCCGCCAAATGGGGTCCGCTGAGAGTGGTCAGTGAACTTGGCCGAGCCCTTAAGAAATTTAACCCTGTGACCAAGTTTGAAGAAAATCGGTTAATATTTGTTGTAGTTATTGCACGTAAACGAAGCGTGACAGACAGACAGACCCAAATTTATATCCCACGTTTCGGTGAGAACTGGGGATAAAAATGTCTTAATAGTAACTAACGGGCACTACTAAATTTGTTAACAAGTAGACTGATGGAAACATAATGTTTTGTATTGTTATTTTAACAATTTTTAGAGATATTCTCTGGGAAATAATTATTATTGCTGTTCTGGCAATTTGCTTCCGTGGTAACAGGATCATTAGCAATAATGAAAACTTCCAAATACCAAAAGACACTTCTAGACTACTGGAATGATGTGCATAAAAAGTTTGACAAAATTATCTCTTACTCTGGACTGGTGTATCCACACTTTTCCCGGTGTGAGATATCCTCGTCTTACTTTAGCATTCATTACAATTGGATTGTACCCCTAAGGGGGGGAAAGGTTCTATGAATATTGAACTTTTTTGAGTTATAGAACAGAAAAGCTACATGACCAAAGACTGTAGCCCGAAGACACATGTATACTGGCCAGAAGGTATGGGTATTGTGATTATTAGTTACAGGTATATAATTATGTACCCCGCCTGTCATGTTGGTGGCCACACTTGTACTATAGGGGCGTCTAGTTGGCTCGGGTTTGATGAGGCTATTGATCCTGTCCACAATGGTGATGTCCACCTCTGATTCCAGCTGTGCCAGGACAAAACTGATCTCTGTCCTTGGGAAGCTGTTGGCTTTCTGAGACCCCTGTGTCAAACAGTTATGGAATGTTTATATTTAAAAAATATACATGTCAGGTTAATTTTCTCTCAAAAAGGTGATGATAACAGGGCATTCAATAGGCCCTTGAAACTTCAAACCCTTCAAACTGGAAGCCCACTATGACAGATGCGGATTCTTTGAAACTGTTGCTACAAATGTTTCATATTATTCTTTGTTAAGATCACATAAAAGTAAAGATGAGATATTTTGTAGGTGTGGATAGAAATCCTATTTTCAATATCCAAATAAGAGCCCCTTTCACTCTCCCTACCCGTAGTTGCTCCAGGCTTTTGATGGTGGCCTTAACACAGGGGGCACCACCATGCATGCTGCTGTACATCTGGCTGGAGTGGGTCGGAGAGGGTGCCACATCTCGATGGAACACCAGCAACTAGAACAAACAAAACAACAGTGACGATTGTTATAAAGGAAAACTCACAATACATATTAGGGCCACATTGCAATTCAACACTCAACTCATTCACCCCTGAAATTTCATAATAAACTCTTCCAACCTTTGAATCATAAGAGTTCAACAAGAGGCCCATGGGCCTTTACGGTCACCTGATTTATTTATACAGAGAGTTGATTTTGTTTTTAACATGAACAGAAATATTATTAAAAGTGACAAAAAACAATAAAACCACCTTACTCAATATCTAGCATACAGATTTCAGACTAAAAAGGATTTGAAACTAGCACCTTTGATTCTTAACAAGGAAAATGAAGAAATTTTAGCACACTGACTCCTTTGAGCCCCACCCTACAGCCCTTGGAGGTAGGGCTGGCTCAAAATTTTCAAAGTATCAAACTGTCAATTCAAGGTTATAATTCCAATCAAGTTATTAACATGTAATATTCAAAGTATCATTTGCCATTATAAAC